TGCTTGGGAAATTAGTAGGGGAAATAAAGGCACACTTAAACGCTTACCTTGCGTCCCGTGACCCCATTCAGTCCAGGTATGCCCGGGGTGCCAGGTAACCCCATATCTCCCTGTTTTGCAGGGACATATATGGAGTATGCATAGAAAGTTTTTCACATAGCACCACTACATAACCCAACACAGCTCACTAATCTAATAAGAATCAAATTAAGGGATAACCTTTTCTCCATTCAGGCCAAGGCTCCCAGTGCGCCCAGGAAAACCTCTGAAACCCTGTAAAAGCATAACACATCACTTAATTCATTAAAACACAGATACACAAGCAGGTGACAAATTAGGAAAAAGTAATCAATGTGAAAATGGAAATTCTTCACCTTCTCCCCTTTCTCCCCTTTTTCTCCTGGTAAGCCAGGTTCTCCTGGATCACCCTATGGAAAAAATAAAAGAATGACAAACTAAATTACCTGTATTTGAATGTTTAGAAATCAAAGGTGCTGTCAGTAGTTATAAACTGCTCATTAGAGTACCTGATTACCCTGTTGTCCTTGGAGTCCATTGTCTCCTTTATCCCCTTTGGCTCCATCCAGCCCATCAGCCCCATTGCGACCCTTGAATCAAATTAAATTGTTATCATCTCACTTGATCACATCTTAAATTAATACTGAATATTGGCTTTAAATGTCGTAGACGTCAGTACCATCACTCCATTGACTCCAGGATCTCCTGGATCTCCCTGCAGACAATCATGACAATTTCACACACAGAGCTGCCAGAAACGAGTGTTTGAACTAATGTTGATGCCTAACTTACTTACTTTTTGTCCTACCGGGCCCCGTGCTCCAAATCTTCCCATTGCACCTTTTATACCCGCATTACCTTTTACACCCTTTTAAAAACAGTTAATTAGTTAGATTTTAGATGTTTTTAAGCAAGACACGATTGGTACTACACTCTGTAACCTGCAAACTTTTCCAAACTCTAAACAACGTTGTATCTGAATTCATTACCTTGACCCCAGGAGGACCGTCCTCGCCTTTTTCTCCTTTATCCCCATCAAAACCAGGTGAACCTCGCTCACCCTGAAACAAAATGCCCGCACACTTCTTCATTGCTAATTTATTCAACTTTTTTGTGTAATTTCACACATTTTTTTAAGCTTACAGCTTATATTTTCAGCTCTTTTTATTGTGTATGTGTTAGATGGCTTGAGTTGTTTCAATATGTTTTGTACTGAAACTCATTTTAGTGGAATGAGTAATAGAAAAAAAGTCAGTGGGATCTCACTGGCTGTCCTTTGGAACCCTTATAGCCACGAGGTCCTTGGATTTGAAGCACACTGCCCTGCAGAAAGGAATTCAGTTGTACACTCAGTATGAAACGAATGTAAATACAGCTCATTCAAAAATAAAGAACACCCTCTTTCAGTTTCAGCCTTCAGCACAAAAACATCATATTCATGTCAAGCACGGTGGTGGTGGGGTAAGGATTTGGGATTGTTTTGCAGTTACAGGACCTAGGTATCTTGCAGTCATTGAGTCAACCATGAACTCTGTTGTATACCAAATAGAGATAGACTAGAAATAGGCTAGATTCAACTGTGAGGCCATCTGTCCAACAGCTACCCAGTTGGCCAAAACTGGGTCATACACCAGGCCAATGATCCTAAGCACAGCAGCAAATCTACAACAGAAGTGCTGAAAAAGAAAAGAATCAAGGTGTTGCAATGGCTCAGTAAAAGTCCAGACCTCAACATGACTCAAATGCTGTGCCAGCACATTAATAGAGCTGTTCTTCAACAAATATAGTTGGTTTTTCCCATACTACTTTTGCAGTCTGGCTTAGTATGTGTTAATATATGTTAAATAAATAATGGTACAGTGTAACATTTCAAGTGTTGCTGTTCATCTAAAATTGTATTTACATAATATTAACACTTAGAGTCCCCCGAGAGCAGCAATGCCCAGCCTTCTACCTTTCTACCTTTAAAACCCGCCTTCCAGCCAAATGGCCAAATATGTCTTGTTTGACACACATTTTTTCAATGTGTTTAACCACAGAGCAAGACAAACTCATTATACCCTTTCTCCTTTGACTCCAGGTGATCCACGATCTCCCTAAAAGAAAACAAAACTTGATTTTTAAATCCACTTTCAAACAGGATGATTTCAATTTCAATTTCAAGACAAGAAAAATGCACGCACATTGTAGTAGTTCTAGTATAAAATATGTTGAACGCTAGTTCTGCACAACATGATGAGATTTTCTTGGTTTTTGACATGACCGTCATAGATAATAAAATCATCCAGCAAAACTTTAGTTACGACACTGTCTGAGAAGACAAACAAATATGAATGCAGGCTGACCAACAAGTGACACCACTTTTAACACAGCCTGTACCCACTGATACTTAAAAACAAACGGGAAATTACAATTGCAACATAAATGTGCCTGTAATAGAGCAGAATATTCACATCTTAATGTCAGTGAGTCATGTGCAAGTAAAAATAAATCGCAAGCAGCTGTTTATTGATGTTCGGGCACCTGAGAATTATAGCAGCTTCATGCTTCATGCACTCGTTTAACAGAAATCCTCAGGGTAAAGAGAAAAACATCCAGTCACTCATTTCACTGCTTTGGTTGCACAGATAAAAGAGGCGAGTACTCATGCAAATATATATGCTCGCTATCTTGTTCTATTACAACATGCTTATGTCGCAGATAAACTGAGTCCATCTATCCTCCCTGCAGTCAACAGTGATGGATACATGAATGGAAACATTGTCCTAATATGTACACTGTGTGTCTCTTGCTGTAATTATACATTGTTAACAGTGCTAGTGCCGATAAGAAACAAAGATGCACATCAACTTAAATAATACTTTTTGAATCTACTGTGTCACATAGTTTTGAGGCGCTTCAAGCAACACGACAGCAATTTCAGTTCACTGTATTTCAGAGCCTGGTAAGCTGGACGCAGCATAGCCTGAGTGCCGTTTGCATGAAGTGCAACACAGAGTTTTCAGTTTGCACTTGGTGGTATAGTCCTTTAAATATAAAATATATGTAATTTTCTATATTAAAGTCTCATTAGCTGTAATCTAAGACGTCTAATAAAAAAAAAATTCAGAAAATTGATTTAAAAAAGATGAAAACAAGAAACGTCACTGATTCATCAGTCATGGCAACAGCTCACCTTTTCACCTTTGCTCCCACTCAGTCCTTTAAGACCCTGTTTTTATAAGAAGGGTGAAAGATAGTGTATTTTTCTATGTCACTAAGGGTTTTATATAAAACTTCATGCTCAATTGTGTGGTTTTGAAAAGTTGCTTACTATGGGCCCAGGAGCTCCTTTAACACCTGGAGAGCCCTTGTCACCCTGAAAAGAAACATTTTCCTGCATAAGCAAACATGGCAAAGCTGATTTTTTGTTATTATAAAACGATTAAAAACTACAGTTCCTGTCTGGTCTAAACATCACCAACAACATAGTCACCAAATGTCAAATATGTAAAAAGGAACTTACCCTTTTACCTGGGAGGCCAACTACGCCTCTCTCACCAGGTTCACCTGGTATACTGTCACCCTGGTAAAATGAAGAAGGGAAAATGATCATTTCTGAAGTGGCAAAAACTGCTTAATTGTAGTATGAGCCAAATAGATTTATGTTAAAATAACAATAACACCATCCTTTAAGTTTGGCTTACACAACTGTGCATAATATTAGTACTTACCTTTTCTCCTTTTTCTCCAGGTATGCCAGGAATACCCTATCAGGTGGTACGAAAAGAAATTGGACTCATTTTCAGCCAGCAATAAAACAGAGAGAAACAAAAGCATAAAATGAAAAACAAAATTGTAACAAGCAGTGATTTTTAGCGTAGAAGGCTGGCATAGAAATAAACAACCTAAAAGACAGAAATGATATGTTAAGTTTTCTATACATGAGGTCCTGGCGGTCCTCGAGGTCCAGGAGATCCTGGGGAGCCATTCTTCCCTCTTTTACCTCGGCTGCCCTAATATCAACACAAACATCATACCTCATCATTATTATTTAAGCAGTGAGGTAATACTTATAACCTTCTCTGTCTATACCTCTTCTTATTAATTCACTCTCACGAAGATTCTCTCGAATCTTTGTGAGAATGAATCTTCTCTCGAAGATTATTTCATTTGTTAGATCATTTCATTTATTATATTGTATTGGCATTCAAAAGAGTTTAAGGGTCATTGTAAGATAATGTATGGTGACATACCTCTCTACCTGCCTCTCCTGGGTCCCCTGGAAGACCCCTAAGACCTGTGGGGCCCTGGATGCTTGGATTGCCAGGGATTCCCTGAATGCCCTGAGCACCTGGAGGACCTGGCTCGCCGGGCTCACCCTGAGGCAACACCACGGCAGAAAATAAGGATACAGGGAAAAAAGAGAAAAAATTCAGTGTTTGAAGATGAGCACATCATCAGAGGTCACTTGTCTCTTGTAATGTTGTTATTCAGCTTTTCTATTACTTTTGAATAATTGCTTTGAAGTAAGGTCCTTCTTGCCTTTATCAAATTAAAAGCTCAAACATAATTTTGAATGAGTCACTGAGTCAATTAAATGCTCCAAATTAAAAGTGTGATGCGAATTGAAGTCATTCAAAGTGAATGCTATGGAAGTCTGTGGGGGCTAATTAATTTACTAGGACATGTGTGTGTATATGTATATATATATATATATATATATATATGGAGAGAGAGCTCTTAAATGTATTTCACAGCCCACCATTATAAGGTCTATGCTAACCTAAATTAAAGCTATTGGCAATTACTAAATCCACTTGTTATGTTTTCGTAATGCTTAATCCACCATTATGCACAAACTCTTTAATCAAAATGATATTTTGAATGCTAAAATATAATTATTGTTGTTGTCCAATTTTCAATTGTACTGTTTTACAAAAAAACATGAAAAATAGTAAAGAACATCATTATTTTTCTGATTAAGATGACACATTGCAGTTCATTAGTTGCACTAATCAGAAGGTCGGTGGTTCGATCCCAGGCTGCCTCCTGGCTGCATGCCAAATATCCTTGGGCAAGATACTGACCCCATGTTTGCCTACTGGTGGTGGTCAGAGGGCCCGGTGGCGCCAGTGTCTGGCAGCCTCGCCTCTGTCAGTGCGCCCCAGGGCAGCTGTAGCTACAGTGTAGCTTGCCATCACCAGTGTGTGAAAGGGTGAATGACTGAATGTAGTGTGAAGCGCTTTGGGGTCCTTAAGGACTGAGTAAAGCGCTATACAAATGCAGGCCATTTACCATTTCTAAACAGAAAAATCATTTAGTGCTTGAATGTCCAGCATGCCGGCTCAAATTTGGATATTAAAACATTTCATTTCATTCATTAAAACAATTCATTTTGAAATTCTTTACTTCAGTTTAAACTGGTAAAATGCTCACTGAAAGGGAATGAGTCCACATTAAAGTACTTCATGATGCTAGATGTGGTCTCTTAGACACATAAGACGAGACATAATCTAGCGGATTCAAAGACAAAGACATTCAAAGTCCGTATTAACACCTGGAAACTATTTGGAACTCAACGAAAAAAGGGACAAGTACATAAAAACAATGGCATCAAGAATGCAAGCTGTTATCAAGACCAATGGAGGCCATATAAAATATTAGTTTTTTAAGTTATGTTTAAAAAGAACTTTGTTTTTTGTCTAATAAATAACGATATAATAATCTAATAATGTAATAACATTTTTTAAATAAATTTCTAAAATATTAGTATTTTTATGTTTTTATGACAGGTGGTCAAATAAATGTATTAAGATTTTTAGTTCAACTGGTGTACAGACCAGTAACCATCAGTAACCCCCCCCCCCATATCTGGATGACAGCTATCAGCTAATGCAGTTTATGATATTAAAAGGTTAAAAGGCTAGTTGATTAAACACTTATGTTATTTATTATGTTAGCACACTTGAAACAGTTCTGACAGTCAGTCTGATAACATTAAAATCAGTCTTTAAAGTCCCCATAAGGGATGAGCGGAGAAATAGAAATTTCACCTTCTGTCCAGGAGGACCAGCCTGACCCTCTGGCCCTCTGTGACCGATGCCCGGCTCCCCCTAAAAATAACAAAACAGATGAACACATCTGCGCAGTCACCATCATTAAAACTTAAAAAGCAAAGTTAAATCTTTATATATTTACCTTCTGTCCCTTTTCACCAATTTCGCCCTGAAGAGTGCATAGAAATGAGTTAGAATAACGGAGTGCACCGTGACACATCCTTTTCATGTGCCAAAATAAACTAACTCGGAGGAATTTGAAATAAAAAAAAAAAACAGGATTTGTCAGCATGTTTAACAAGGGGAATTATTAATGTCTGCTTTAATCTACTGTCTCAAAGTCATACAGAAATAGAGCAGGAGGGACATCAAAGCCCTGGACTCAACCAGATTCAGTGACAGGCGAGACGGGAGGGAAGCTCTCCCTGAGCTCTGATGTCATTTACAGATGCAGTGTTGGGAGGAGGGGGAGCATCCATGATATTTTTATGAACTGGTGGAACATTTCATGTGGGGACATGTGTCATTCTTGCTTCGTGATCTTAAGATGATAATAAAAATAATGCTTGAAATCAGTGGGAAAGTATCAGCGACTCGGTCATTTCAGCATAGATATGTTTTATGTCAAAGGGTTGGTTCAAGGTTGATGTTGCTTTTTTGGGCAATATTTATCACTAGGATGGAAGAATATCAGTCACACACAGCTAACAAATTTTAGAGGCATAAACTAGCTAGCAACTGCGGCAAAAGTGATGGATCAATGACTCTTAACAGCTAAATAATACAATTTTTTTCTTGCAAGGCTCGAGCCACCTGTTGCAAATTTTGATGGCTTTATCCCCTTTTTAATCTTTTCAATAAAGTTTTATCATAACATTCAAAATCTTGTCACCTTTTGTCCTGGTTTTCCATTTTCACCTGGCTGTCCCTGTTGCACAAAAAAGACAGTCAGTGATCATCATCATGTCTATAAACAGCTCATTTGTAAAACAGTCATCGAACATTTCAAGAAAAGTGTAACATATTTACATTTTACTCTTTTGCCCTTACCTTCAGTAAATAATACCCCGGGGGATATGGGTACGGCAGTCCAGCTTCTTCATCGTAATTTCCCTCTCTCCTCCTCTCCATCTCCTCCCTCATCCTCTCCCATTCCTCCCTCTGCCGCTCCAGTTCTCTTTCGCTTTCCATTTTTTCCCTCTCCTGCTCGGCCTCCCTCTCTTTCTCCAGTTCCTGTCTTTCTCTCTCCATCTCCAGCCTATCCCTCTCTCTCTCCATCTCCAAGTCCTCCTTCTCTTCTTCCTTCTCTTGATCTACACCTTCCTCTGTCTCCCAGTCATTGTCTCCACTTCTCTCCTCCTCCTCATAGACTGGATCAGGGACTGGTTTTAAATCAGGCATTAACTCTTTCTCTTTTTCCATTCCCCAATCTTCCACTTCCGCTTTTGTCTCTTCCTCTCCTCCACCTATTGTTTCAGTGGGGACCTCTGTCTCTGTATCGATGTATCTCCATCTCTCTCGTGCTTCTTGTCTCTCACTCCGGCTGTGTGTCTGAAGGCCTGGATTTTCTTTTTCATCCTTCTAAAAACACAAATCAGCGTATTTGTAAGTCATCTATCCATCTGGATTTGGATAAACACCTGAACCCGAACGGTGAAAAAAAAACTAACCCCCAAAATTTGGAAACCCGAACCCCAAAAGAAAAGGGCCGGAAAATAAAAGAAGAAAAAACAAAAACTTTTTTTAGATGCAAATTGATTTAAATTTTTTAAAACATGGAACTATCAGATGAAAATTAGTACTTGCTGTGCCTTCTTAAACCGATTTCGTCCTCCTGGGGCACCTGGCATGAACACCTGAAACATACAGATTTTACTTCATGATTTAAAAAAAAAAAATCATTAATTAGTCTTCTACAAAAACAGGTGATGCTTACCATGGAGTCAGGCCAAAATGTTCCTCTTTTCACCCTGATTTCAGGTTGAGGCACTTCCATCTCCCACAGAGCCTTCATAAGCAAATTTAGCAAATCATTTATGATGATTGATGTTTATATACTTTGTAAGTGCTGAGCCACCTCTAATTTCTTTATATTGTTTGAGGAAAATGGGAAACAAACATGTGCAGGCATACACAAAAACACAGCATCTGACATTGTGTTTTCAGTTTGTACAATTCTTAAAAGGGTGAAAGTCCATTTGCTATTACCATCTTTATTTTTTAACACAGCCAGAAATTGTCCAGGCTTCTGGAAGAGCATTCAAAGCTCTTCTTTGAATATTTACTGTCTTCAATAGGTCTGGGCTCTGGGAAGGACAATCGTGACTGTTTGCCAATCAGAAACTTTCCTTCTGATGTTATTTCATAGTGGATCAAAATCGGACAAGGTCACCAGTGGCTGAAATGCAACCCTAAACCGTGACAGAGCCTCCACCATGTTTTACAGATGGCTGTAGATATTCACTGTTGTACTGCTTTCCTGACCTCCTCCACAGATAATGATGATTACTTACCAAAAATTCTAAAGTTTGTTTCATCTCTTAATCAGACATGTTGTCACTGGTTTTCAGTCCAGTTCTTTGCCATCCTCCCTTAAGAATGGCTTCTTTCTGATGAGGCTTCAGGTATCGGTGGGGGTATAGCTCAGTGGTAGAGCATTTGACTGCAGATCAAGAGGTCCCCAGTTCAAATCTGGGTGCCCCCTTCAGATATACTCACTGCTTTCTTTGTTATTCTGAACTACTTATTTACTTCCACGGAACCAATTCTTTAATCATACTAGTATTCTGTTGCTGCTTTTCTGTATTTATTATGTTAATGTCTCTTTTTTCCCCCTTGTGCAATATTTTGGCAGATCTGCAATTTCCATAGCCCTTCCACCCTTACTTATTATTTATTGCATTCTAGTGTACATAGTAGGGCAGCACAGTGGTTAGCACCGTGGCCTCACAGCAAGAAGGTCCTGAATTCAATTTCTCCATTGGGCTGCGGTCTTTCTGTGTAGAGTTTGCAAGTTCTCCCCCGATCCTCTGGCTTCCTCCCACAGTCCAAAGACGTGCACTTGGTGGGATTAGGTTAATTGAAAACTCTAAATTCCGATAGGTGTGAACGTGAGGGCAAATGGTTGTCTGTTTCTATACGTTAGCTCTGCGACAGTGTGGCGACCTGTCCAGGGTGCCCTAAGACAGCTGGGATAGGCTCCCGCGACCCTGAAAAAAGGATAAGCAGATGGATGGATAGTGTTCCTGCATATTGTCTTATATATCTGTATATTGTCTTTTACTTTCACACCTTGTGGTCTTGTTACATAATTTCATTGTGCAAGCAACTGTACAATGACAATAAAAAGTTCTAAGTTCAACAGATTGATCAACTGAACGACCAGGTGTCTTTGCTGGATTTTTCCTGATTCTTAAGGACACGACTTTCAGATACAGACATCTACTGCATAGTCTGTGCGTGTGTGTGTGTTTGTGTGTTTCTTGTCCGGTTTCTCAGATTCTTTCAGAACACCCTGCACTGCAAAGATATGCAGGTTTTTAACTAATATCTCTTCGGGAATTATCATTTTACATATATTCAAATTTTGTCAAATTCAAGATACAACGCTGGCTCACCTCTTGAGTTAGGTGCTATTTTATGCTTGGATAATTAACAGTTCAGTGTGAAGTAGCTTAACAAACAAATTTTTAAAAAAAAATGCATATTAAGGTACAAGACTACACTAAAAATGAGTGAAAAAGCAGTCAATGTCCAAAGAAAACCTTCACAAGAAACTTTACAAGAAAGCCATGAGAACTATTGCTCAAGAGGACTTTTAAAAATGAGAAGAAAGTCTGGCTCCTTGGAAGCAAAATATAAAGAAATCAGGGGTGGCTCAAGACTTTTGTGGAGTACTGTACGATGAGAAAAAAGGAGGAAGACACAGAGTTGTTTAGAAAGTCACTTTTACTTAAGCACACATGCACAGAGAGGTTAAACACAGACAATATAATTATAAAGATAAATTTCACCAGCGTAACAAGTGTTTGATCTGGCTACATATGTGTTTATAGTAAAACTAGATTCTAAATATTATCTATGGTATTCACAGGGTATGGTAAAGTAAGAAACCCTTAGTATTTCCATGTTTTAATAAATAAAATGTCTGTATTTCCTGAAGTATGTATGCAAATTGTTGTCATGTTGAAGAAAGCTTACTTCTATTTTATTTACTGAAAAATACTTGTCATAAATAAATTAGGAGTTTCTGGCAGGTAAGTAAAGCTACACTGGTTTTTACACTGACCAAGCTTAAAAAAACACAACCTACATACGAGGACAGTTTTCAGGTGCCTAATTTTCTATAAGCCACAACAAGAGAAAAACACTCTGGTAATGTATACGGTATTTTTTGGTGAGTGACATTGTCTCTGTGCGGAAAGAAGTCCCCCCTCATGAAACGACGTTGTTCAGGGTTCATCACCAGAGAAAACGGTTCACAGTTTATTCGCACTCTCCGTGTAGTGCTTTCTTATGAATGATTAAGACTCTATAGTCTCAGTCTCTCGGGAATTAAGAGATTTCCTGTTTAAAAAAACGAGAGAGAGAAAGTATTAAAAGTAACTCTCTGGATTTCTTTTCTCAGTAAATCATTCATGAACAGCTGGACTATATTTTCTGCTCATTTGCATTCAGACAAGCTTTAGAGAAATCATGCTAAAAGCATGCCGCTCATGCTTTGGTCATGTTTGGTCATGTATTCACATCAGCCTTAAACAAACACTTGCATTATTTTGCACTGGTGAAATTTTCATCAAAAGCAGAAGAAAGAAAGGGGTCTTGAAAATGATGAAAGTGCTGCTTATGGTTTATTTATTGACAACTGCAGTTAAGCCCATTCGCTGTTTTATTCAAGCACTTGCAGATCAATTTCAGGACCCTTGTGCATAAGTGCAAATAAAGTTTTGCATTCCAAGGCATGCAAAGATCTTTAAGACGGAAGCCAGTAGAACTTAAAATGAAAACTCCACCTGATCTGGTTCTTCTGTTGCCGAAGGAGGTGTAGACTGAAAAGACACATCAGAATTATAAAGTTAAAATGTCACTTGGAAAGTCAAGCAAAATACAAAGAAAGAAAAAGTAAACAATGCCCTATTTCTCATGAGCACCGAGCTGCCCAGGAATACCTTCTCTATGTCATCAGAGGGTCGAGAGGGTGACTCTGTGGTTGGCAAGATAACCTAGGGGGGGACAAATAGGTACACAAGTCTGAATGCAAAAACCCCCAGCATATTGGTAACTTTTACAACGTTTTTTAAAAAAGTAACTTTTTTTGTCATTACTCTGAAAGTTTGCACTTATCTGCCATTAAAATATGAAGCTAGCAGGTTTCAATGTTTTGTTTTATTATAGGTAAAAGTATTGAAAGTTGCTCTGTGATGTCAGTTTCTGTTTATTGAAAGAAGATTGGATAGCTGCTGTTAAATTTAATGCTAAAAATTGGGACTTTTTTCACACTATCACACATCCAGAGTACACTCAGAATATAACAACACTTTAATATGCAAACTGCAGAGGAGCTGAACACGAACCCTTTTACCAAAAGAGCCTCAGTCATCCCTAAAATGTCCATGCAACATGCGGCTCAGGCTCTTTTGCCTATACTGACTGAACTACCTGGGTTTATTGTTTGTCCAGGGCATTCTTATGTCATGTGAGCACCAGTTATCTGGACTTTAGGCTTTTTTCATTATCATACGACATCTGTGGATAATGACAGTGTGGTGGGAGGGTTTGGTATGTTGGATCAGTTGTAGGAGGGAGAGGTGGGGCAGGATAGTTGAGGGTAGCGACACCAACTAGGTGGAGAAGAACACCTAGTCTGCTGATCCTTCTTTCTCCCATATAGTAGGTGCAAAGCTGGAGAAATGGTGAAGAATGTGCAAGGTGAAGCACAGCAGGTAGCTGTGCACTGACTGTATGTTGGCAGTCAGCGGGTGATTTCTTCTCTTTCTGCTTTATAATAAAGAACTGCGTGTCCGTACAATTAAAACGCTTCCCTCTGTAATTTCATTCTTAGTGGAACCTGGCAGAGGTCCCTGACTTGTTTTGTGCTTGAATGAATAAAAATGATCAAAAGATAAATACCAAAGATAGCACAACATTTGTTTCACCTGTGCATCCGTTTCTCTGTCTGAGAAGACTGTTATAGGTTGACTTAAGGTCTCGACCTGGGCAGGACTGGGTGTGAGCAATTGTTCCTTACAAATCAAAAGCAACACAAATGTATTATTGTTCAGGTAAAACAGAAATGTTTATTACTTTAAGTTAGCTATTGGGCTACAAATGATCACCTTATCGTCCACTGGATGAGGAAATTCATCTGTTTGGACTTCAAGCTGCGCATGTTAAAGAAATTGAACACGTCACATTAAAAATGAATCATAACATTTGTACCCAGTCCGGCTGAAACAGATGAGAGAATATTTACCTGTCTGTTTTCCCCGAAGTCCCGAGGGATTAAGGGGTCAATTGTGGTAAGTTCTTCCTATTTGGAAAAAAATAAATATATATCTCGTCATAACTTTTAAACACTCAAGCCCACGGTAGATGATGTGGAGAGCGGATGAAGTGGGCTGTAATGACAAACTAATTTATTCTTAATAATTAAGATTAGGCAGTGGGTGTGTCATTAATCAGATCTCTGCAGCATTTGTGTGGGCGCAGATATAATTCAGTCTCCAGAGATACTGCTACGAAGAAAAAAACAAAAAACAAAAAAAAACGCAGGTGACTGGATGATGAGTTTGGCAGGGCTGTTAACAAGAAGGCGCTCACAATTCTCTAAATGAGGAACAACCCCACGTCATCAGCATCACATTAAAATTAAGCTTCCAACGGTGCATCAATTACTGATTTATTATTGCAGCTGCCTACCTCGTATTCATAACTGTAATCCTCGCCGTTATAAAACTCGTCTTCTTCGTCTTGCCTGGCCTCTTCACTTGTCTTAGGATAAAAAGGAAATAGCAATTATTACAGGAAGGAATTGTGGCACAGCATTATTTATCACGTGTGAATAACTGGAATAACTGGAACACATCAACGAGCAAGCAAATGTAATCTGTTAATATTACAGTGAGAAGCAGATGGACATCAGGATCAATGCATGCTTTTAGTTAAATGAGGCATATTGTGGGTGCAAAACGTGGTTCATTCAGTGTGTTTATATTCACAATGTTTTAATTTAGGATTATGTTTCATTAAATCTTTTTTTTATAAAGTTATGTTTGTATTTTGCAAGGTCAGACATTTTAATTTAGTTGGGGCTGAAGTGAAGTAACGTTTCTGGGTTTATTCTGATCTGTTGTTCAAGGACATTTACCAAGCGTTGTCTCTGCCTCCTATGTCGTCCTTTATTTCCTTTGCCCTGGTTGAGAAGTTCACAATCAGACAGAGAAAAGATGAAGGTTTCCCATATTTCAGAAGTTGTTGATGATCAAGTTCTAAACTGCAGCTGATAAGTTTAGGGAAATGAGTAATTAATGTTTATCAAAAATGAATAAAAATCCCGTTAAATTAGGATGATTAAAAAACATTAAATCTAGTTTTACCAAACAGTTTAGAGCTGTTTATGGTATTTATAGGACCATACCTGATGTTTTACATGTTTCAGCCCATCCGATTTATGTGTATATCCCTTTAAAGACTGCACCATGAGATAATTACTAGAAAACTCAAAATTTGTGTTTTTTTAACCTTGTGACAATTTTTATAAAATTTAATGAAATAGTAATTTGCAAATATGAGTTTTAATTTGAATCATATTTGCTAGATCTGGCATTTTAAAATATGATACACTACACATGTGATTTAAATATATATAGACACATATAGCCTGCCTCCCCCGCAAAACATGGATTAAACTAAGGCTCATATGATGAATGGCAAGAGTTTATTTAACCCTAACTGATGCAGTGAGTAGCTTGTCAAAGCAGAAGACGTGATGATTTCCCACAGTCGGGGAAAAGACCTGCGTCGAGAAAGAAAACAACTAAGGAGACAGGTGAAACTTTTAAAAATAACTTAACTAACACATTATTAAAGGATAGTGGTGTGCCATCATCTTCGAGGACGTAATGCGATCAGTGAGAGAATTGGAGATCGATTGGTGAAATCAAATCATAGTCAAAGTAAGAACATTTCCTTTTGACCTTGGGTTGCTTCACTTGGTCAGATCATGGTTGACCACCATTATGTGCCGAAAGAATGAACTTATCCCAGGGATATTCCAAAACTGAGGTCCAGATCACCAGGCCGAGGACTATTTTGCACTGGGCTCCAAAGAAAGAATAAATTTGTTCTCTCCAGTACTCTGGCTTCCTCCCCCCCTTCGTGACCCTGAAAGTTATAAGCGGCAGAGAATGGATGGATGGATGGATAGATAGAGTTTCGGGTATTTTATTTTTCCAAAAAATGACACTTTAACCCAAACCTTACTCTTGCACTTAACTCTTTTTCCATGCATCACAAAGTCTGAAAACCCAGTGACCCAAAAACAAATGTCACTGGAGAACTTCTTTGAACAGGAAGAAAGAGCCAAAGATGAGTCACCAGAGGGATCTCAGAATGCCAAACAAAAGAAAGAAAGAGATTAAGAATCATACTTAAATTAAGAGGTTCATCGCGAGATTCACACCCTCCACATTCGCTTGGTATAATATACACTGAAAAATTGTCCAGCGTTAAACTGGTCGATGGTACAAAAACGATTGGGAACCGCTGCTCTAAGATATCAGTGTCAGGAATCATCAGGCTCAGATTGTTAAAGAGCGGCTCAGGGCACATGAGACATTATTTTACACATGAACTGACCACCACAGAGTCAAGAACTTAACCCCACTGAGAATTTCTGGGATGTGCTGGGGAAGACTGAATCCAAGATCTTAGAGAAAAATTAATGCAACGCTGAACAACAACACATAACGCTGCATAAGCTTATCGAAACAATATCTTGGCAATGCTGTCATCAAAGATAAACGTGGATCCAACAAAATATTAGACTTTGCAACTTTATTTTGGCTGGGCAGTGTATACTAACCACTAGTGACAAATATATTTTAAGGGATTCTTCAAACTATAATCAATGCATATTTAAAGAACACATTATCAGTTGATAACAGAGACACAAATATCAGCTTTCAGGTATTTTTGTGGCACCCTAGACGTGACTCATATTAACTTCTTTCATGCCTTTAACTTTGTTACCATAACTTAGAGCAGCCCTTAAAATTAAAGAATAAAACTCACATCATTCTCACTAAAATCTAAACGTTAAAGAATTTTCCATATTTAGATTTCCTGTTTCACTGGTGCTACAAGTGCACTTTCCCAAATCTACATTACTGTGCAGTAATATCACAACTGAGAGTCCAAATCACTTAAAATTAGCATAAACATCAAAACAGAAGCATCCATTTAGTAAAAGCTGATGTGTATGCTAAGTAGAAGAGATAAGCTAAAACATCAAACACCTGTATGGTCCTTTGGCAATATGCATTCATTGTAAACTGATGGAGAAGTATCCCATTTTCCATCCTCTATCTAAAACCCAACCCTCAATAAGACAGTTATGGTAGCTTTACTTTCCCACGTTCCCTGTTCTTCTTCTTTTGTCCTGAATTCTTCTTCAGTGAGTCCTCCTGAGTGAGGAGAACAGTCTCCATTACAGATTGAGGTAACCCTGAAAACATCTAACAGACAAATTTTAACTTTAAATGCAATCTGAATATAAATAACACCAATATTTTGCAATGTAGGATTGTTTAGATTTTTAAAGTATGACATGTACATCATTAGAGTTTACAAAGCATTTTATGAAATATTATGTGAATGTTAGATATATATTAATTACTTTTATGACTTTTTTAGGAATTATTATGAAGTTTATTTGCATTTTATTTCTTTAAATAAAGGGAATAATAGAAAATATAAAAAAGAAAAATGGCACTGAAAGTTTACACTCTGTCTTTCTTCCATCTAAAAGTGCCTAAATATGAAATGTGACAGCCTTACCTCATTGGTCATTGTATAATTGGAAGTAGAATTGACTACAGTCAGATTAACTTTAAAGGAAGTTCCAGTACTGTCTACTGTCTCCTTTAAATTGGTCTCAATCATGTCATGCTCCAGTTCTCCATTCAGCGTGTTGACGGTCCATAAAGTTGGATCCTCTGCAGTTTCATTTAAAGGGTCCTTCAGTGAGAGAAGTAAAAAAAATACATATTAGTGACAACTGGTGATAAACTATATCAAACACAGTTTCATTTCTCCAGGATCATGGTGAAAACATTTAAAGCCACACAAGCTCAAATAAAATGCAAATGCACAAAGGTATGAGATGGCTGAAAAACTCAAGATTACACAGAACCTTAAACAATAAATATCAAGGACTGTTAGTAGAACAATAAATATTCAGAACATGAGCTGTACATTGTTCGATGAAGCATGGACTCGCCAAGCTGCTGCAAACAGTTCTCAGAGACTTTGGACCACACTGACATGATAACAACACATAATTGCTGCAAATTTGTAGGCTACAGTGAGATGATTTGAGCTTTGTTAGGCTGTGCATTTAAACAATGCTGAGTTGGTACTAAGGGCCTTAAAGTGCGCCTACAAGATATTCCCCACACCATTACAGGATTACAGGATGGATCCATGCTTTTACGCAGTTTACATCAAATTTTGACCCTATCATCCGAATGTCAAAGAAGAAACATCACAGGAAAGACTCAGGCAGTGTTTTTCAAACCTCCACTTCTCCAATTGTGGTAAGTCCATGAGAATTGTAGCCTACAGTTTTCTTATACTTAGCTGACAGGAGTGGTACCTGTTTCGATGTGCATTCAGAGATGCTAGTCTGCATACTTTGGTTGAAACAAGTGGTTATTTGAGTTACTGTTGCCTTCCTATCAACTCAAAGCGTGACCATTCTCCTTGGATCTCTGGCATCGACAAGCCATTTTTCATTCACAGAAGTGCTGCTCGCTAGATATTTTCCTTTTTTTTTACCCTTCTCTGTAAGTCGATGGTTGTGTAGGAAATTCCCAGCAGATTATCAGTTTCTGAAATACTCAGACCAGCCCGTCTGGCATCAACAGCCATAACACATTCAAAATCAAGCTCATGTTGAATTCAGTAGATCATCTTGAACATGCAGTGTTTCGTTGCCATACGATTGGCTGATTAGATATTTGCGTTAATGAGAAGTCGAACAGGTGTACCCACTAAAATATGTGGTAGGTTAATAGATTCATTATTGTTCCCAAGCATTCTCTTTAGATTAGGCTGAGGTTACGTACAACAAAGAAAGATTCAGGAGGCTGGCCGTCTACATCAGTGTCCTCAAAAGTGTCCGCTTTTGACAAAGGTCTGCTGGTGATGTCAAATTTCTCCGAACTCTATCGAGAAAATATAAAATAAATAGCAGTAGTAGTCGTTTTGAAAAGTTTGAGGTATTGGAAACAAGAAATGTAAACATACAGTATACAGTCTAAAAATAGTCTACGTACTTTGTAGTCAGTGATGACGTTGGAGTTGTGCCTTTCTGTGTTTTCTTTTGTTTTCTTGGAGTTGCTGAGCACATGAAGAAGCTCCTCTATGCCATCCTGCAGCAACCTGTCAATCAAAGCCTTCAGCAAAGGAAGCTGAAAAAAGCTTTTATTTAGACAGCTGAACTCTACTTTTATTACACTATTGCATATTTATACAATGTGGTGCAAAGAGCTCACCTTTATACCGTAGGCTTCAAACATTGTCTCAATGTCCTAAAGTCGAGTGAAAATACGTTGTTCAGATACTTAATAATGTAAAATGAGAACATGTATGCCACAGAAGAAATTATTATATCCTTTATTCAACCTTCATCTCAAGAGATTTTCCTGGAGCTCCAGCGTCACCCTGCAGAAACATGAAAATAAATGCAGTCAGCATAATGTAATTTCCATTCCCATGTTTCTGATGTATAAGTCAAATGAGCATTACCGTTTCTCCTTTCAGGCCTTTTTCTCCTTTATCACCCTGCAAAACAAGACAAATCAGCAACCAAGGCTATATTTCAGGGGTTTTTTTAAGAACTCAGCCTCAATATAAGCACCATTACCACCTTACCTTCAATCCTGGAGAACCCTAAACACACAGAAACAGAGGAGCAGGACATTTGAACATGCATCTACAATGCATGACATCAAGCTCACCATATCTGTTCTCATTGTATTGTAGCCCACAATAAAAATAAGCACTGTAGTCATCACTGCATGATGACTTAGATTTCATGCAGGCGACAAGTGAATTATGCCATGCAACAGCAGAGATGATGTGCCATTTTTTAAGAAAGCTATACATATGCAGAAACATGTGCACAAGCATCAAACTCACAGTAGGTCCTGGAGGACCCATTGGCATTGGGAATGCTTGTCGGATTTCATCAATGGTAGCACCCTGAGAAGGGATAAATGGATATTAAGTCAAACTGTGTGATGTTTTTCTGAATCAACACCCAGCATAAATGAGGAATTATTCAAACCAATGGTGATTACAGGTGTAGTCATAAACAAGTCACCAAAAATGAAGTCATTTTGCATCATGTTTACCTCAGGAGTGACAAGCACCTGCCTCCCAGGCAAACCTGGAAGCCCTGGTTCACCCTTACTACCATCTTTACCCTGCAGGAAACAAACAGCATCATCCAGTTACAGCCTCAACTTCATCACTAAGTTGTGTTTTCCTTCATAAATGTGAATACACTTACATCAGCACCCGCATCTCCCTTGTCCCCCTGAAATGAAGAGTGAAGTTAACACAAGTAAATGGAGAATAAAAGCTTCATAAATGTTTTGATTGCTGCAGCAAATCTAAGAACCTTCTTGCCGTCATCTCCTTTGAGTCCTCTTTCTCCCTGTGAAAAAAAAGTAATTTCATCTAAAAAGAGCTAGAAAACGGCAAACAAATGTGCAAATTGGATAAAACAGTAATCCAGGTGATATCTAATAGCAAAGTGGTATAATTGTCAAATGTTTCTCACATCTTTTCCTGGCAGGCCCCTCTTCCCATCAATGCCAGGTCTCCCCTGTACAGAAGAGGAAATGAAAAAGGAGATTGATCATTATCGTGGATAAACATGTGGCTCCCGCTAATTACACACCTGACGCAAGAATATATTTTGTTATATTGCTTTGAATGACTAAAGACTGTCACCATTAAAAGTGTATAAAAAATGGATGATAATGATTTTGCCGGAGTGAAACTCACAGGAGTCCCCGGTAAGCCAGGCATCCCAGCAATCCCAACCCGGCCTTGATCTCCTTTTTCTCCTTTCTGTTTACAAGCATAGAAAAAAAAGTCTCCTTTTGCAAATATCAGCAAATTAAAATGACAAATGTTATAACAAACTGGGCAAATTATCACTGAGGCAGTAAAACACTCCACAGCAATGCAAAATAGCTGCTGACATGCTAAAAGCTTAGGTGTCTATAAGCACACATAAAGTTGATATACGGAACATAAAGACTGAAAATCATGACTGCATCTTAGCTTTTCTTTTCATTATTCTTTTTTGCTAAGTGAGATAATACACTGTAACTCAGTGATAACTTGTTTTATGCTAATATTAATAGGGCAGTAAACCATATACGGTAATGACAAGAATTTAAGTTCCATAAAAATTCATCCACTCACCGGACCAGGTTCTCCTTTCTGTCCCTGGTCACCCTACGGTTACCATAAGACACCTTGTGAGCAAACTCTTACATGCATACCCTATATGTACAAATATACTGGGCCACTTACACATTACACCTACAAGTGCTGCTCCGCCATGCAAACTCATGCCATGAAGCTCCTGGCGTGCAGTTTTTATTAAGTATTGGTGACCTTTAGGCACTATGCGCCTTGGCACTCCATGACCCCTGCTCTGTAACTTTACATGGTCTAGAGATGTTTGCAATGATACTATTTAAAGAAATTTCCAAAACTGCCCTGCAGCAATAATGAGACCCTGCTACAGGAAAACACCGAGTTTTGTAAAGGCATATGGCATGGCTTGGTGGCAGTGGGAATGAAAAGATCTCATTTCAGAGATGAAGATCTGTGGCCCAATACTTTTTGTCAATATAGTGCACACGATGCCATTTACATGGAAATTTTCAAAATATTTGAATGTGCAATTTCAATAAAACATTTTTATAACCTTCATTCCTGTTTTTCCTGGTAAGCCATCTAATCCATCTCTTCCAGAATCACCCTGCAAGGCAAACAGTTACATTAAACACACCTTTGTAATTAAACAAAAAAAAACCCCAGAACCACAGTAAGTGCAATTTAGAATTATGCACATGCATACCAGAGACTGTCCTGGTAATCCAGGTTTCCCCTCTGGACCCTGGACAGACACATTACGATGTTTCAAGACATTCAAGAAAAATATATTACTTTTGATTTAAAAAAAAAGAAATAGATAAGAATAGCGTAAATGAATTTAGGATCACTTCCTGTGTGGATGCCCCTTTAAACAGATTAACCAAGTTAGATTAATGATCAGTTTTGTGTCCTGAAAGGTAAAAGTTAATGGACTTAATTTTTGGCTGTCCATAAATTAATGGCTGCTTAGTACTTCTAAAAAATAATAATAAGCACAAAAAAAAAACAGAATTAACGGTCATTAGCATGAATGATATAGTGCTGTATACTGCCCTCTTCCTGGTTTCTTCTTTTTTGCATATCTGCCACACTTTCATGTTTCAGATCATCAAACAAATGTTAATATTAGACAAAAATAACCCTAGTAAATACATAATGCAGTTATTAAACGATGATTAAAAACAGATCCAAAAAGTTATCCAAACTAACCTGGCCCTATGTCAAAAAGTTGTTTCCTCTAAAACCAATGAAGAAATGTTGGTTATGCCAACATTAGAAGCAAGAACTGTGATCAAGAGTTTGACGTAACTGGCAATGAGTGTTTCACATCGCTGTGAAGGAAAGTTTGGTCCACTCTTCTTTCCACAATTGTTTTAATTCAGTTAGATTTTAGGATTTTCAAGCAGGAAAGGCACAATGCATTTCAAGGATAATGCCAAAATGTTCTGATTATTCCCAGATTTTGACTTGGCCACTGCAAAACCTCGTGTTTGAGCTTCAGGGTGTGAACTGATGGTTGGACATTCTCCTTTAGGGTTTTCTGGTCTCAGAATTCACGGCTCCATCAGTTACAGCAAGGCATCCAGGTCCTTAAGTAGCAAAACATCTGTTAACCATCACTACCACCATCATTTTTGTTGTTGGTGTGTTTGTCGGTTGGTTGTTTTTAATGAACGGCTGTGTTGCTTTAATGTGAGATTTTACAACAGATGTAAAAGTACTCAAACCTTCCAAAAGGTTCTGCTTTAGTCTCATCGGGTAATATTTACATTTATATTTACATTTTACAAAAATGTAATATCTCACATTTTTACTCAGGTCATCTTATATTAAAATTGGTTTGATGATTTGTAACATGTTAATGTGACAAATATGCAAACATTAAGAAAACAGGAAGTCGAAAAGACTTTCTCACTGCACTGCGTATCACATCCTGTTGGTTACTTCATATGGTGAAAATACTCACTTGTGGCCCAGGCGGGCCCATTTCTCCTCGCAAACCTGGCTGACCTGGCTCTCCAGGATCGCCCTGATAAGAAGGAAAGGGCAAAAACCTTTAATTCTTCCTTAACTGAATGAATTTAAAGTTGTAATGTGCTATTCTTCAAATTACCTTAATTACTCTGGTCAGTATGTTGTCTGAACCAGTCTGATTGAATAAAATGACAGTTAAATTGTTAACAAACACAGTTTCAGTTGATTGGAAACAGACATAAGGTCTCATGGAGGAATGAGGCTTTTTACAAGCTGTGCTTTAACAAGCGCCTCTGTCAAACATGGTTGAACTGATCAAGTAATTATAGAGATTTGTTTACTTGTGTTCCCGGAGGTCCAGGCTTTCCCTTTATGACGATGACAGCACAATGAAAAGAAGACAGACAAAACACAGTTAAAATCTACAACGTCATAGTTCTAAACAAATCCAATATTTGCAAGACAAAGGAAAAATAGTTTGGTGCAATGAAGGATGGCAAACACACAAAAAACAAAGTTAATTACTCAACTTATCAAAAGGGAATGACACAGGAGGATAGCAGATTGAGAAGATATGAAACAGTGACTGACACAGAAGAATAATCAGAAGGCAGGCAGCCAGGAGAAAAAAACCAAACATGTTCACTGATGAGAGAGAGGGAGGGAGAGATGGTGGATACAAACTTACCGCCTCTCCTTTGTCACCTTTTCTGCCATCGGCACCCTTCAAAACAGAAAAGAAATCTCAGGTAATGTTAAAGTTTTGCAATTTCAGTTGAATTATTACAGTTAGTTATAGTACAATATAAAGCTACTGATCTGTACACACATACTAAGCAGAAAGATGAGGATCCTATAAGTGGATCTTCTTAAAAGTGTACATTTAATAAAGCATAGCATTAACTCAGGAAGGCCACAAAGTCAAGCCCAGATCAGCTGGTTCAGTTCGCCACCTTCTACACAGTGAAGTGTTTCAGCTGCTTCAGCAGGGGCACAGCTGCTGCATACCCCCAAGCCCCTTTGCAACCCACCTTTACCGCAGCTCTTCCTTTTAATGCTGTTTCTCACTTAATGAGTAATGTAAGACAGCTTCAAACAACAATCTTCTTTTGACCACAGTTGTGCTGACTGAAGTTTAATTATCATGGCAAAGAACTTACAGGTGGGCCAGGCTTGCCAGGGTCACCTTTTTCTCCAGTGTCACCTGGTTTTCCTGGTAATCCCAATGGACCCTGATCAACAAGTAGAAAGAAATGGAAGAATTTAGCCCTTGACTCATGTTTCACAAATAAAAGTGTCAGATTTAAAGCCTGGCCAGCATTGTAACTACACATTCAGTATACTACATACTGGTTTGTCGCATTTTCAGATTTTGTCAAAATACATTTTGAAGTTACTTTCTAAATTCTGTGGGAAGTATTGTTTTTCCTTTTTTCTTATTTGAACTTTACAACTGTTGAACAAATACCCTGATTCCTCTTTCACCAGGCTCTCCAGCTGGTCCTTGTTCACCCTGCGAAAACAAATTAAATGACTCCGTGGAGGTAATATGTGACGCTGGGGATGATTATAGGGATGTTAAATCATTTTAAAAATAACAATCTTCAAAAGCAACATGTTTAAAAGTCCAAGCGCTGGTCAACAAAACAGTCACGTAACAAACAAATAGACTTTACCTTCATTCCCGGTTCTACTATAGCTCCAGGTGCACCCTACACACAAATTAAACAATAAATCTAAGCAGTAGGAAATATTTAGCCAAATGTGCTAACATTCACAATATACGTGTGAACAAAAGGGAAGAGATAAAATAATTAAATTTTTTCTGGTCCATTAGTTAAATTTTTCACACTGTTAGCATTTTTCTGACACCATTGTTTCTGAATAGACCTGTTTATCAAACTAAATCTGAACTCCACTGTACCTACCATACAAACAAAACTCATAGTTGCTGTAACGGCCACTCAGGATTTACTTACATCTTTACCTCTTAATCCCGGTTCTCCAGGATTGCCAGGTAATCCAATGCTCCCTTTTTCACCTTTAGAGCCATCTTTCCCCTGAGCAAAGACATGACCTCTGATTTACAATGTCAGCAAAAAAAATGTATGCTTTAAAAATAAATAATTGGGGTTTTTAATTGTTTAATACAAATCTGTTGTAGAATTGTACAACATATTAACTGCCAGCTCAATTTGGGTTTTGATGTAAAAAAACAACAAAAAAAAACGGTATTGTCTGTATTTACAAAGAGTGCAGTGGCAAGATTGCATCTAAGAGGTGGGCTGACTTTCGGAAGTGATCCTGCTCCATTTCTGGGACTTCCTTTCTCAAGTCGTAAATAATAAGTAGAAGCATATTTAAATCAGTACACAAATTGATTTGCAACACACAATTTGCTGAGAATTGCACCGATATTGAGACTATATTTAGCCCATTTTTTGTACTTGATAATGAAATTAACTGACTGCGTTTAGAAAAGGAGCACAATGTTTGTAAATCACCTGTAAAGTCACCCTATGAGTACTATTTGGGGATTGTGCTCACACGCTGTTTTGCCCTGTTTAGTAAAATGGCGTAATACAAACGTTATTCAAGTGGTTCAATTAAGTGTTTTAAACTTTAACTGAAGTTAACATTTAGAAAACTTCTAAAACCAAAAAGAATTTTTGGCCATAAAAAAATATTTTTAACATGTCTATGCCTTGTCTATGTTTATGTCTACCCTTAGCTCCTATGAAGTTTTGCCTAGGTATGGATTTATCTGGCAAGATTTGCCAAACACTTGTGTTAAGCATGTGGAAAAGCCAGGTGTTGCGAAGTGCTCACAAAAAAAAGATCATGGACAAACGCAACAAATCATACATAATTTCAGGTAGACCCCTACATGACACTGAATAGCCCACCAACAAAACCTCTGTTTTCACTTGTAGCAACGTACTGTGCAAATTTCCCAAATGCAGCAGACTGCATAGAATGATTGTGTAGATTTTTTTTTCACATCTGCCTCCTATTACTGGAAATTAGTGAAAAAGTATAGAAGAAAAACTAAAATTAAGCAAAGGTGTCAATCCAAAAATAAAAAATTAATGTATGTGTTTATAGTCTATGTGTTCTTGAATACTACTGCTTGTTTTCACCTTGCATGTAGTATTTTGACCCATTGTTTACAGAAAAAATAATTCATGAGAAGAACTTAATGTAACTAGTAATGACTCACCTTTTGTCCTGGTTTTCCTGATAAACCAACATTTCCCTGTAAACAATGAAACTAATAAAACATCTAACAACAACAACACACAGCAATTTCCTGCTTTATGATTCCAGGATGGCAACAGCGTTAAAGAATCAAATGACTCACCCTTTCTCCATTTTCTCCCTTTTGCCCCTGCTGTCCTGGAATCCCAAAACCAGGACTACCCTGCACATATCAAAACAAACCATAACCGTACCATAAAATGATATTCAGTTATTCTATTTGCTCTAATCCTGCAATAATAAAATTGAAATGACCATGATGAACAATATCTCTCCATAACAACCTTTTCTCCCTTGTCTCCTTGTTCTCCCTTTATTCCCTGAGGGCCTGTAGAACCAACTGGACCGATGTCCCCCTGAGAGAACACATACATGAGCACATGTACATCAATTGATAAGAGAAGGCTAAACCTCTCTCCACTCTAAATGGACCCTGTGGACTGTCATTAATTATGTGCCATCCAACAGAGCATTCAGTCTCCCTGAAAAAGCTAATGAGAGAAAATTTTTAATTGTGTTCGATAAGCGGGTCCATGAGATTGAGTCTGCAAAAATATACCAATTAATTAACAATGTTTTCAATTACTCACCTCTGGCTGATTTATTTTAACTCACTTAAGATAAATACGTGCACACAGCTTAGTCTGGTTGAGAAGAAATTAAAAAAGGTGTTACAGCACCCATAGTTTCAGTAGTTTAAATCCTTTTACTCAATGATAAAACCTTTACCTGGAACTAATAGTAATTTCCTTATTTTAATCTTAAATGCCTTAACTGCAGACGAGCAGCTCATACCAACAGAAAAAGTTGTTATAATTGCACTTTACACAGAGTTTGCAACGTCTCTTTGTACGCAGCTGAAAAAGAACAAAATTAAATCATCCAGGATTCACAGCTGACTGCAACTACCACAGCATGACTTCTATATTAGGTTCTTATCTGTTATTATCTCACAGGTTTGAAACACGTGGTTAGCAACTAGTATGATTACTTCATTGTTTCCCATAAAAGAAAAGCAACCCTGGAATAGGTGATGGGTACATCAAAAACCACAACCATTAGTAACTAGTAAGCATAGATCTAATTAAAAGAAAGCTAATCTATATCACAGCCTCCCTATTTCTGATCTGTATCTGTTAAACTGACAGAGGGACAAATGAAAGTTTATAGAGGTTAGGCTTACAAAAAGGGATCCTGTACCACTGTCCAGAATTTATTAGCTCAAACTCAGAATTCTAAATCTATAAAGGATTGTTAAAATCCTGCTAGCCAGCTAACCCCTGGACTGTCCAAAAATGTCTCAGGAAGGAAGGAGTATTTCAAATCAAACAGACAAAAACTGTCTGATTTTACTAAAAGTAAGATGCTGAGTGTAGGTAATGAATGAACCCCCAAAATGTTGGCGTCTGCTCCTTGATAACTGCAGTTCCACCAACATGTAACTTTTTCTTTAAGTGCAATGAGACACAGGGTTCATCCAATTACCAGTCAGGTGCCTGCCTGAATGTGAAACATGTATAAGAAGATGGCAAAAATGAAGGCTGAGATGGAATTATACAGGTAGCTAGCTGCACCGACTGCTGGTGACATGCTTTTTCTCTTTTGTGTGCTTTATATCCCACAGCTTTTGATCAGGTAGGCTGAAGTTAGCATATGGTAGATGGTGAGAAAGACACCAGTTTCCCTTTTCAGATGTCAACCAGTCAAACTGTAAAAGGAATCGCCTGGAAAGGCCGGTTAGTAACACTATGGGGGAATCTCATATGATAAAGGTGTAGATTATGGATGCTGTGACTTTAAAAGCACCTTTCTTAACTTTTCCTTATGTAATTAAGAAGATATAGTGCCCGATGATTGACTTGAGAACTATCCAGACCATACACTTGATGTCCTATGACAGCTGGAATATCCATCACCTCCTTCCCCAGAACCCAACAGGTTAAGCATTTCTTCAAGGACATTTAAGGCTATTTGACATATTTGAAGTCTGTAATTAAGCTGAAAACAATGTTTTGGAAGAATGTTGATGTAGTATACACTGATTGGAAAATTCAGTGGTGAAAATAGAAACAGATCAGCAAAAGTTCTGGAAAAAGCTCACACACTGGTAACTTACCCTGGCCCCCTTTTTCCCAGCTGGACCAATTACCTGTTGTGACAGGGAAAAGACAGTTTAATAGCAAAGCCTCTATATACTAGGTTGAAATATATGAAATGGTTTTCTTACACCCTTCGCCGGGTCTCCAGCAGGTCCTCTTGGACCTTCATCTCCCTTTAATCCCATCGGTCCTGCAGGCCCCTAGAAATGTGAAGGTGAACTGTCAGTGCCACTTCCGTTGTGACCGTTAACTCCAAGCCTCTCTGATAAACGCTGTTTATTTTTGTTCCCAACAAATCAAAACCAATTTCTTCTTTTTATCATAAAAACTAATCTTGTTGAATGACTACAAAGCGTACTACAAAACACAGGAAGATGGCTCTCATGATGACAGTTTTTCCGGTAGCAATCTCTTCCAAAAGATTATGCTGCTTCAAATTAAAAATCACTGAAGCAGAAAAAAACGACCCATTTGCAAAACATACCCACTGAGGTTTGACAATTTGGCTCGTGGATGTATGCAATCATAACCATCTCTGATAGAGTGTAATCTTCCAAACCCAGAACAAAATGACTTCCTCATTTGTTCATTCATCAATCTAAATGTCTGCTTGGAGACATTAGCAAAAGTTATTAATAGGTTTAAAGCTAGTCTTTTAGTTTTCAGAGCCGGTGCAAAATAAAAACACTGCATTTGCCCCTCCCTTGTTTTTTATATTTCTTTATAGCTTTTGATAAATTCTTTTAACATCTGTTCCAATTTATTTCGATCTTCTCTAATCCCCACAGAGTCGAAAGTGTACATACAGGTTCAAATATATGCATACAGTGGGGCAAAAAAGTATTTAGTCAGCCACCGATTGTGCAAGTTCCCCCACCTAAAATGATGACAGACGTCAGTAATTTGCACCAGAGGTACACTTCAACTGTGAGAGACAGAATGTGAAATAAAAATCCATGAATCCACATGGTAGGATTTGTAAAGAATTTATTCTAAATCAGGGTGGAAAATAAGTATTTGGTCACCTCAAACAAGGAAAATCTCTGGCTCTCACAGACCTGTAACGTCTTCTGTAAGAAGCTTTTCTGTCCCCCACTCGTTACCTGTATGAATGGCACCTGTTTGAACTCATCATCTGTATAAAAGACACCTGTCCACAGCCTCAAACAGTCAGACTCCAAACTCCGCCATGGCCAAGACCAAAGAGCTTTCGAAGGACACCAGAGAAAAGTATTGTAGACCTGCACCAGACTGGGAAGAGTGAATCTACAATAGGCAAGCAGCTTGGTGTGAAAAAATCAACTGTGGGAGCAATCATCAGAAAATGGAAGACATACAAGACCACTGATAATCTCCCTCGATCTGGGGCTCCACGCAAGATCTCATCCCGTGGGGTCAAAATGATCATGAGAACGGTGAGCAAAGATCCCAGAACCACACGGGGGGACCTGGTGAATGACCTGCAGAGAGCTGGGACCAAAGTAACAAAGGTCACCATCAGTAACACACTACAACGGCAGGGAATCAAATCCCGCAGTGCCAGACGTGTTCCGCTGCTGAAGCCAGTGCATGTCCAGGCCCGTCTGAAGTTTGCCAGAGAGCACATGGATGATACAGCAGAGGATTGGGAGAATGTCATGTGGTCAGATGAAACCAAAGTAGAACTTTTTGGTATAAACTCAACTCGTCGTGTTTGGAGGAAGAAGAATACTGAGTTGCATCCCAAGAACACCATACCTACTGTGAAGCATGGGGGTGGAAACATCATGCTATGGGGCTGTTTTTCTGCCAAGGGGACAGGACGACTGATCCGTGTTAAGGACAGAATGAATGGGGCCATGTATCGTGAGATTTTGAGCCAAAACCTCCTTCCATCAGTGAGAACTTTGAAGATGAAACGAGGCTGGGTCTTCCAACATGACAATGATCCAAAACACACCGCCCGGGCAACAAAGGAGTGGCTCCGTAAGAAGCATTTGAAAGTCCTGGAGTGGCCTAGCCAGTCTCCAGACCTCAACCCCATAGAAAATCTGTGGCAGGAGTTGAAAGTCCGTGTTGCTCGGCGACAGCCCCAAAACATCACTGCTCTCGAGAAGATCTGCATGGAGGAATGGGCCAAAATACCAGCTACTGTGTGTGCAAACCTGGTAAAGACCTATAGTAAACGTTTGACCTCTGTTATTGCCAACAAAGGTTATGTTACAAAGTATTGAGTTGTATTTTTGTTATTGACCAAATACTTATTTTCCACCCTGATTTACGAATAAATTCTTTACAAATCCTACCATGTGGATTCATGGATTTTTCTTTCACATTCTGTCTCTCACAGTTGAAGTGTACCTCTGGTGCAAATTACTGACGTCTGTCATCATTTTAGGTGGGGGAACTTGCACAATCGGTGGCTGACTAAATACTTTTTTGCCCCACTGTATTCTAATATACTGATATTTGGTTAAATGTGTCTCAGCAAGTTGCAGTTTGACAGGATGCTTTAGGTAGCCATCGACAACTGATCACAAATCCCGCCAGGATAATTCTGGCTGGGGTCCTCTTGGCAGAATTTGTAGGATTCATTTAAACTGGTTGGTTTTCTGGCATTTCCTGACTAAGCATAGTCTACAAATTTTCAAAAGGGTTGAGGTCGGGACTTTGGAAAGGACATTACAGTGTTTGTGTTTGGAGACAGTCCTTATTTATTATTCCATTACTTGTGCAATATACCAGCACCACTGGCAACAAAACAACCCCAGAGCATGATGCTGCTACCACCATGCTTGAAAGTTGGTGCAGTGTTCTTAGGTTTGAAAGTCTCATCCATACTCCTCAAAAAGTAGTAGCAGGATAATTCAGTCTTTGTCTGACAATAAAGATTTTCTCTTTTCTTTTAAACCTCTTAAAACCTTTAAACTTTTAGATCTCTGACATAAACTATATATGTGTCTGCCCAACTTATCACTTTGTAGATCATCTCATCGAGGTCTCTTAATTGTTCCATGCTCTTACCTTAAAACAAGAGCCAATCACGCTAATGAGGTTTCAGAAAAGCCTTTCTTAGCTTATCAGGATGATTGGTTTGCTTTTAAAAAATGACGAAAACTCATTTCTATAAGTTAGCTTTCCGCAATTATTATGGGCCACAGTTTATATTTTTTGTGTGTATAAAAGTGTGTCTGTTGAAATGAATGTGTCACTATGTGTCTGTATGTTGAACTGTATTTATTTATCTTTAAACTGTGACTGTGTTTTGAAAAGCGTTGTATAATTAAACTTTTATTATTATTATTATTATCATTATTACTAATAAATCTGATGCCACATTGTATAAGATGCAATCCTCACTCACTGGGGGTCCTTGTGGTCCTATTGGTCCCACCTCTCCTTGGTCTCCCTAAAGAAGAAAGAAAATTTTAACGCACACTTTTTTTGTAAGCAGCCTTATTCTTGTTAATCTAAAATGAATCTTCACATTCATATGCATGATAATTGTAAAGCAGAAAGAATTTATATGTGAATGAACTCACCTTGTCTCCTGGCTCCCCTTTCATTCCCTTTTTCCCCTGCGGGTATAAATAAATCACTTGCTTTAAATTAATTCATCAGTGATTGTTATGCAGTCTTCACTTTTATCTGTGATAAATCGGCTTCATTTTATTAGAAGGAAGTGCAATTCATTTATATGCATTTAAGTATAAAACATGCAGGGTAGTCATATGTGACTATTCAGTTGGTGATAAAGTGCACACCCGAGGTCCAATGATTCCCTGGATGCCCTGCTCTCCACGCTCACCCTTAAAAGACAAAGTGAAGAAACATGTGAACCCACAATAAAGTTTTAACAATAAGGGGGTTTAGATTACTTTAGGATATTAGCAAAAATCTGAGTTTAAAAATGTATATTTTGGTACCTTTGGGCCAACTGGTCCTGCTAATCCAATATCTCCCTGCATGACAAAAGTAAAACAAACACACAAATAATCCAGTCTTTAATGCAGTGCAGACTATTCTCCAAAGTCAAGCTGATGACTAAACTCTGTGTCCTTCATGTCTGCTGTAAGGTACCTTCTCTCCTTTCTCTCCATGAGGACCTTGAACACCTTGTATGCCAACTCCCTCCTCACCCTGCAAGAAAAAATAAATATTACAAACAATAAAGTATTTTTAGTAATTATGCACTTAGGGTCTTTATAAGCACAAAAGCTGTAATTCAAAATTACCTTTTCTCCTTTCTGGCCTGGCAGTCCTGGTCCCCCATCAACACCAATGGGACCAGGCAAACCTGCAATGCCCTGCAGCAGTTTGCACATGTGTCAGTTTGCGATGTGAGAGACAAAGCGGGCACAGAAACGTCTCAAATTCTGTTTTATTTTTTTCTTAACTAAGCTGCCCGAACACTATCATTTTATCAGCTATGTGCTTACATCTTTTCCCGGCTCTCCTTTGTCTCCTTTCACGCCCTGCTTCCCACGTAAGCCCTTTCAAAAATAAATGAAATATTATAAGATATGCAAACACAACAAGACATATTATATAACAAAATAACCGAGCGGTTTGAAAATAGGCTGATATACAACATTTATGAAAGTAAATTAAAAGTAGGGATTCGGGGGTTTTTTTGAGCAAATGTATAAAACAACAAGAAGACAGCCTTCATACTTACTTTTGTACCCGGCTCTCCGGGATCTCCCTGCGAAGTGCAAACAGTAGAAGCAGCTTTGATTGGACTGTGCTGTCAAAACATCTTTGTGACTCTTCATACTAAATACTCCAAGCTGTCTTGACATTATGTGATGTGCAGTGACAGGCATTATAAAACATCATGAATTAAAAAAAGGTGGGGTGTAATTACAATGCCCTTTTCTTTCTTTGCTTCCCTTGAATTTACGTTACCTTGACAGCTATTCCTGGTGGCCCCGGTGATCCTGGCTGACCAGGCAGACCTGGAGCTCCATTGACCCCTGGAAGACTGGGAGGTCCTGGGGGACCCTGTAACATGCAGTTAAAAGTATCTTAAAATGCCTTAAAGATTACCTTTCAAAAACTACTTGTTTATTTGTTTGTTTTTTGGGGAAATTTTTTATTTTATTTTTTTTGCCTTCTCGAAAACTCACTGAGGAGCCTGGCTCTCCTTTTCGTCCGGGCACAAAATTTGCATCTGTACCAGCTATGACGTATCCCGGCTCTCCCTGAGAGGAAGGCAAAAAAAAAAAAGACTCTGTTCATTGTTGTTGCAGCATAAAAATCTTAAAAGTGCATAAACATCTGTCTCATGAATAGAAAGCAAAATTAAATGCATGGATTACACTTACTCTTTCTCCTCTCTGTCCCTTTGGACCAGGGAGCCCAGGTGGACCCTACCATGAAAAGACTGTTTCAAAAATCCTTTACAGTCTCCAAAGAATATAGATGACACAATTAATCAATCTATATATTTTTTTACAGATATTTTGTTCTCACCATGTCACCTGGAACACCTGTAGGGCCCTGGAAATTTAAAAAGTAATCATATTTTCAGGTTCAGATCAGATAAGTGTGAAATTCTGTTCTATATGGATATACAAGCGTGAGAAAAGGAACGTTCTTGTAGCACTATATGCAGACCTATGATGCACTGCACAACAAATTAAACACAGCATATCAGCACAAACACCTCATGCCAACTGTCAAGCACGGTGGTGGAGGGGGGATAACTTTGCTCCTTGCACTAAGTAGATCAAATGTGAGGCCATCTCCGTACGTCCTGTCGAAGTTCAGACCACAACCTGACTGAAATGCTTGGACCTCAAGAGAGCTGTGCATACACTCTTTGCACAGGACTGCTTACACTGCTGTAAAATCATTTTCATATGACTTTAGGTACCCGTTGGCCAGCAGAACCCGGTGGTCCAGTTCTTCCTGGGCGACCTGGCAAACCAGGAACACCGTCAGTTCCAGGAAGTCCCTGTCAAATTAAGACATTAGAGTCAGTCCTGAAAATAAAAATATTAATAAATATATATATATATATATATATTAAATAACAAATTGCAGAGGGACACAAATACTACTGCACTGTTAGTGGTTTCGATACAGCATTTAAACATAACACTAATTGTATATACTGAATTCAAAGAGGACAGTACACGGGAACTAATTTAATGCAAATGGTTTAAAAGACGAGGTCTTGAACTCTTACTTTCACATACTTTTGAAGCTGAAATGCTCTACAAACATCTTAATTCATGTTTTTGTTTACATGCAACTCTTGTTGCTAAAACTATTTTGCTTTTTGTCACTCATTCTGCATGTGCTAGTATAAGGTAATAAAGGGCAGGTGTTGAAGACAACAAATAATAACTAAGGCATTTATGTGTAATGTGCACAAACAACCTTATTATTATTATTTATGTACATATATTCATGCACATACAATTAACATATGCTGTATGTGCTGATGCTTACCCTTTCTCCTTTTTCTCCTTTTGAAGATGTGAAAGGATCAAACTCTCCAGGGCTTTGTCTGAATCTCTACAACAACATTAATAATTGTTATTTTTTAAAGGTTTGGTTGATGATAAGTAAAAAAGTGTATCTGAATATACAAGGCAGAAGCGGGGCCAGTGAAAAACTGAATAGAAGGGAGAATAAAGTTTAAGCGTATTATTTAAAAGGCGCCATAAAGTAAGGACAAACATACCAGACCAAGACCCAAACTGTCTCCCTGAAAGAATAAAAGATTATCAAAAAATAAAGAAATAAGTTTATGAAATGTTACAGGAAAAAATGCATCAGTTTTGTCTGAGTCAAATACAGTAACTCACCTTTTCCCCTTTTTGGCCCTGAAAAAACAGAAAATTCACATGATTAATCACTGCAGAATAACAAGGTTTAACAACTCACGATTATAACTTTGCAAGAGAAAGAATCAAACAAACCTTCATGCACTGAGTTAGGCATGGACCCTCGGGCTTAAGCATCTCCTCTGGGTCATCAGTGGGGGTGTCTAGCTGAGCACCCTGAAAATGAAAAAAAATGAATGCATTACAAACTATTCAACTGACTTTTAAGTAGACTACAGAAGCAGAGAAGGCTCACTACAAAGCTTCTTTGAATTTGCTCGTCAAGAATAATTTGAATTCTTATTATGCAACACAAGGTTGTATAACAAATTTGAGATGTAGTCTGTTTGTGCTACCAAAAATTCTGAATGAATTATTCACTATTTGAGTCATAAAAGTAAAGCTACTGTTTGCAGTGAAGGGGGGGGGGGGATCTCAGAGCTTCACACGTGTAGTCTTGTGGCCTGAAGAAAGAAACTTCAAAGTTAATTGGTTAAGCAGCAGAGGCACCACATGTAGTACCAGTTGCTGAATTTTCCAGTTAGGACACTTTTTTATGCTCGTCGCTATAAGTGACTTAGTGACTTGGAAAGTTCTATCTGTGATATTGATTCAGAGAAATTTGAAGCTGTTTATCTGCTGCACCTAAAAAAAAAACTAAAAAAAAACAGGTGTGTCTGTCTTTGCCTCCTTTCTTCTAAAATCAAAAATCACCTGCTTATTTTTTTCCTTACAATGTGCAGTTGATTGTTCTCTGGCTACCACACCACAAGATTGCTCATGTCCTCAGGATATGAACAAGAAAAATACATGTACATCCACAACAAAAGAGGGGCAGGTGCTGGCCCGACAACAAGCAAACAACAAAAGGAAAAAAATCAACTGCTTGAACACTGCAGAGCTCCGTTTTTTCCTACTGATTGCACCAGGAAATCTATGACGTTTCTACCACACCTACTCATTTTTAGAAAAGAAATTTTGAGTTTCATTATTGAATGCGAAGCTCAAATCAGCAGCATTCACAGAGGCTTTACTTATTATCAAGGTGTGTGAAGACGGGGGACAGTGGAGCCAACTGCTGAGGATCTATGTGGACAGGTCTATTGTCTTTTATGAAAAACCAGCCTCTCAAAACACATCATCAGAAATGGGCTGAGTCTGCAGTTACGTCCTCTGGTCTGACGTCAAGTAAAGAATGGTGACATTTTCTCACCTGCAGAGCCTTTGTGTGCAAATTTAAAATTAACTGGATGCACCTCTGTGTAATACATGGCCATTAGACACAAATAATAGGCTCCACAGGTGTTTTAGAAGATCCACCTACACGTGCAAGTATGTTCACTTTACAGGCACAGTATAAAAGCTGTCCCAATACAACAAAATCTCCTACAACGCATACTTGTATGTATCGCTTATGAACAAAGATTTTCTACATTTACAGTCATTTATTTGTTTTAGTTTCTTACAGACAGACAAGCAATACCTTTGCCTTATTTTTTTTACCTCACCTCATCTTGTAGTTTGAACTCTGTGATGAGTTCGTCACTACAGAGGCTTCTGATAAATTCTCTCTCCACGGAGGGAAAATCATCAAAAGTTGGTGAATAGAAGATGTTTTTGTAGCTGGTGGGAGCCGCAATTTTATTCAGTTCTTCACGATCTGCATTCGAAACTCCAACTGCCAGGACGCTGACCCCTACAGAGACACAACCGTAACATGATAACTGAATATTTTAGTTTAAACTTTTAATGAGTGAAAAATCCGTTCACGTGTTTTGAACAGTTTATATTATAACTCACCCAAGGCGCGGGCAATTCTGGAGGGTGGCACCACATTGTCTTGGGCCTTGCCATCTGTAAACAAAACCAGAACATGGGGTACATCCTGCCTCATCCCATGAGCCTCCTGGAACAGTTCTTGCAGAACATAGCTGATGCCTTTTGCTGAGGAACAAAAGAACAAAAACAACAAAAAAATAAGTTTTAAGAGGAAGTAATATGACTTTTGGTTAAATTCTGGTAGATTATTTTTGCTATGTCTGTGAAGGTTCTCAGTCATCCAGGTCATCGTAGTCAAAGGAGCTTGCAAAGAAAAGCGTCTGGACTTCTTTAAGTTACTTGAAGACGTTTCACCTCCATCCGAGAAGCTTCTTCAGTCTGCAAATCTTGGAGAGCGATAAAGGACACTCTTTCGAGGATGCCAATGTTCACATTTTGGACAGAGAGGACAGATGGTTTGAAAGAGGAGTGAAAGAAGCCATCTATGTCCACTGTGAGCGACCATCTTTGAACAGAGGCGGTGGTTTACGACACCAACTCTCTGCCATCTACAGGGAGTGCAGAATTATTAGGCAAATGAGTATTTTGTCCACATCATCCTCTTCATGCATGTTGTCTTACTCCAAGCTGTATAGGCTCGAAAGCCTACTACCAATTAAGCATATTAGGTGATGTGCATCTCTGTAATGAGAAGGGGTGTGGTCTAATGACATCAACACCCTATATCAGGTGTGCATAATTATTAGGCAACGTCCTTTCCTTTGGCAAAATGGGTCAAAAGAAGGACTTGACAGGCTCAGAAAAGTCAAAAATAGTGAGATATCTTGCAGAGGGATGCAGCAGTCTCAAATTGCAAAGCTTCTGAAGCGTGATCATCGAACAATCAAGCGTTTCATTCAAAATAGTCAACAGGGTCGCAAGAAGCGTGTGGAAAAACCAAGGCGCAAAATAACTGCCCATGAACTGAGAAAAGTCAAGCGTGCAGCTGCCAAGATGCCACTTGCCACCAGTTTGGCCATATTTCAGAGCTGCAACATCACTGGAGTGCCCAAAAGCACAAGGTGTGCAATACTCAGAGACATGGCCAAGGTAAGAAAGGCTGAAAGACACCACCACTGAACAAGACACACAAGCTGAAACGTCAAGACTGGGCCAAGAAATATCTCAAGACTGGTTTTTCTAAGGTTTTATGGACTGATGAAATGAGAGTGAGTCTTGATGGGCCAGATGGATGGGCCCGTGGCTGGATTGGTAAAGGGCAGAGAGCTCCAGTCCGACTCAGACGCCAGCAAGGTGGAGGTGGAGTACTGGTTTGGGCTGGTATCATCAAAGATGAGCTTGTGGGGCCTTTTCGGGTTGAGGATGGAGTCAAGCTCAACTCCCAGTCCTACTGCCAGTTTCTGGAAGACACCTTCTTCAAGCAGTGGTACAGGAAGAAGTCTGCATCCTTCAAGAAAAACATGATTTTCATGCAGGACAATGCTCCATCACACGCGTCCAAGTACTCCACAGCGTGGCTGGCAAGAAAGGGTATAAAAGAAGAAAAACTAATGACATGGCCCCTTGTTCACCTGATCTGAACCCCATTGAGAACCTGTGGTCCATCATCAAATGTGAGATTTACAAGGAGGGAAAACAGTACACCTCTCTGAACAGTGTCTGGGAGGCTGTGGTTGCTGCTGCACGCAATGTTGATGGTGAACAGATCAAAACACTGACAGAATCCATGGATGGCAGGCTTTTGAGTGTCCTTGCAAAGAAAGGTGGCTATATTGGTCGCTGATTTGTTTTTGTTTTGTTTTTGAATGTCAGAAATGTATATTTGTGAATGTGGAGATGTTATATTGGTTTCACTGGTAAAAATAAATAATTGAAATGGGTATATATTTGTTTTTTGTTAAGTTGCCTAATAATTATGCACAGTAATAGTCACCTGCACACACAGATATCCCCCTAAAATAGCTAAAACTAAAAACAAACTAAAAACTACTTCCAAAAACATTCAGCTTTGATATTAATGGTTTTTTGGGTTCATTGAGAACATGGTTGTTGTTCAATAATAAAATTATTCCTCAAAAATACAACTTGCCTAATAATTCTGCATCTATAATCCAGTTTTGAGATCCCTTCCCAGACGCCTTAACGCCCACTCACATCCTGGGCCATCTGACTCAGGAATTCGCATGATAAGGTGGGGCCAGGTTTCACAATGAACCACCCAAACTCTGGCTGATTGGGACCCACACCCAGTTTCACACCTTGGCTCAGGCGATTAGAGGATCATCAGGGGGTCCTTTTGTCCCTCTGTGGGGGGATACTCCCACTAGGTTTATATCTGGGACTCTCCACCATTTGACCTTAGAACTGAAGAAGCTTCTCGGATGAGAGGTGAAACGTCTTCAAGTAACTTAAAGAAGTCCAGACCAGATTCTTCAGCCATGTTATTATTTGTGGTCTTGGACCATATGAATTCTTGTATCATCTCACTGATTCAACAACTTTTCTTTCTTTTTTTTTTACGCAAAATTAAATTTGCCCATGCACAATAAAAGATCATCTCATATGACACTAACTACGTCAGCAGTCAGTGTACAGGCTTTTGGTAACAGAACAGTGTGACACCTGTTAAAAAGGCTACGGTTTTCAATACAGGAAATAGTAAAAGAGGCTCCTGATCCACTGGAGACAGCTGGCAAACTGAGACAAAGCATGGTGCACATCTGTGTGAGTATCACCAACCGGTTTTGGTGTTGCCCCCTCCATAACGCAGCGCTCTGAGAGCCCTGAGCACAGAGTTTCTGTCTTTGAAGTCATTAAGGCGGAATTCAATGCGAGGCTCATCGCTGTAATGAACCACAGCTATCTGAAAGAAGATTGAGAGAGTAAGAAAATGCACATCATCATAACAGCAATATAAACGATTTTTAGATCACAGCTGACTGTGATGAAACTTCATTCTTCAAAACAAAGATCATAAGAACTATATATTTGCTTGTGCTTGCCTCCTTGGCTGACAAAAAAAATGGCATTATGCCATGCGTCTCCTTTCTGCCAATGTTTGAGTCTGATTCAGCCCATTTGGTGGAGAAGAGCACATTATGTTACTGCTAATGGTCTAAGCCTGCACATGAGACTCACCTTCCGGGCAGCTATTATGACTCAAAAACTGCAATCAAGTCCAATTTGTAATTGTCTAAACAGACTCACAGCCAAAGTGATAAAATTAAACACCTGAAAGTTTTATCTTCAGCACAGTACAAAGAAAAGTTTTTACTGAGCAACTAACCTGCGTGCCCTGTGAACCAATTACGGGGAAGTATGTAGCCACTCGAAATATGAAGTCTTTCATCTTCCTAAAGTTGTCAGTGCCAATGCTCGACGACTCATCCACCAAGAACACTATATCCGCTTTGGTCTTACCGCACACTGGACAGAAACAGGACAGAAAACAGTTCTAACTAAAAAATATGCTACATATTATTTAGCATGAGGGAAAAAATATAAGAGAATCTCTAAAATACCTGGTTGTGGTGGTGTTTTTTTCTCTGTCACTCTACTCAGTGTGGTTAATCGAAAGGACGTGACTGCTCCTGCCTTGCCCTCAGTGACACTTGGCTGAACGTGGGGCTTCTTGGTTGTTAAGGACTCAGTTGGAAGCACAACATCAGGGTGCCAGGTGGTCCTCATGGGTGATTGAGCAGTGGTTGTGTTGATGATAGAGGCAGTCTGGGAGTCCCCAGTGTTAGGTGGGGAATGGGGGGGCACTGTAGGTGGCACAGGCTGGACTGTTAACGCTGGGCGAGCTGGTCCCACTGTGATACACAGAACCATAACAAATAAATCAAACGCTTGAAGTCTCTGGAGTCAAACAGAGTCTTTGCTGGAACAACAAATGGGATTGCAAAGGAAGCAATAAAACACTGCTGCAGCATTCTTCAGTTTGGGTTTTCAGCTTGTACCAGTCTTAGGAAAAAGCTACTGTAGGTGTTCACTGAATATCAACAAACAGAACAGCTGACAATAGAAAGCTAAGAAAGATGCATGGGTAGTCAGACAAATAGGTTCAACATTTTAAAGCATTCATGAAGTTTAGAATAAGATGGCCATATGAGAGATGTAGTGCTAAATAGCTTAACACTTAGCTAAGATAGCATTTCTTTTCTTCAGGAAGCTAATTTGAGCTTTGTCAATTTTATGCTTACAAAAATAAAAATACACACACAGTATAGTGTGATGTGACTGTAGGTATTATAGCCTGATCAGTGGATGTATTAAAGTAAACAGAAGGATCTGAAGTGTATGTCTGTCATTCAGTCAAACAACTTGGAGAGAGTCTTACATATTCTCTGATACATGGTGCTTATAGGCCCCTCCACTTCTCCATACAAAGGTCTGATGGTGAAAAGATATGTTCTGCCATACAAGAGATCACTGATCTTATAGTAGGTGAATCCAGGGCCAAGGATTTCTGTTTTTGTGTCAAACACTGAAAAAAACATACATAGAAAACATGGTGTTGCAAAGTGATCACTTGTGACAGTATGGTTTCAAGAAATAAGAAATAGGAAAATAAATCTTTATACTAAAATGGATTTGAGTGTATAAAAAGGAAAGCAAACAGTATTTTTTAATAACCTGTAAAATAATGTGTCAAATCTACAAGTAACAATGATATATCTGAACATCTGGTGACAAATGACATATACGGAGATTCTGTCAATTATGACAATATTACTTTAGGAATTTTGTTAATAAGACTTTTCACCTTATTAACAAAAGGGTGCTTATGTTGCCACTTTACTCACAAAAGACATATCATGGTTAAAACACTATGAAATCTCTAAACAATTATTCCTGGCATGCTGGGATACTTGTGTTTTATTCAGGCAAATATTGCCTTTTCAGACCAAGACCTGCTAAATAAAAGAATGTTTATGGCAGGTCTCTGTATGCAGTGTAATATCATTTACATAATATGTAATTCATCTCTGGAGCCTAAAAGAAAGTTGCATGAATTATAAGAAGGTGCTTTATCAAGTTGTGGTTGCTTACTGACCTGAGATGTGCCTCCAGGAGAGGCGATATCCTGAGGCACCAGCTACGCGTGTCCAGTTCAGAACAGTACTGTTATCTGTTGTATTCAAAGCAACAAATCCTTCTACTTTGGGAAGATCCACTGAAACACACAAAATAGCTCTGATGAATAATGACATAAAGAAACAAGTGACATTAGGTGGATTTATTATATCATACGTCCTAATGAATATAAACTTTAACATTCCCAGTATTAGGTGCATATATGTACATAAAAGGTTTTTTTTGCATCCACCACATTAGATTTTAAATTAGGCCATCAATATGTGATTGAAGTGTAAACTTTCAGCTTTGACTCAAGAGGTTTGACAAAAGTTTTGAATGACTTGTTCCTGAAATACAACCATTTTAAACGTAGTGATTTTATGAAGTTTTTCATAGCCTCTGATAAAAGATTTTGAGTTGACTCAAAGTGTTTAACTTGCATTTTGGTAGCTGCTCATTGGAACTTTCAATACGAGGTACTTTTAAATCTACTAAATTTTAAGCCACCGTAGTGGCATTTACACATAATCTGTTTAAGGAAACTGGCGAAACATATATTACTGAACATTTCCCTGAAACTCAGACTGTTCCCTACTACCAGGGCCAGGCAGGACTCACAGGTACGTGCTGTGACCAGGACAGCGCTTCCTTCCCTGCTGCCCACCATGGAGGACACCTGGATCTTGTAAGCTGAGCTCTCTCGCAGGTTGCGGATGGTGTAGGAGGCAAAATCAGCCGATACCACATGGGACTTCTCATCACCCCCTAGTGCACAGAATAATTATGAAAGTGTCAAACAACCGTGTTTGCAGTCATTTACGGATGAAACTGTTATACAATGAGCCACAAGAGTCTAAACTGAGGAGTGGTAACTCATTATGCTGCTAGATGCTGTAATAGGAAAATACTGCAAATATTTTAATTTAAGACATGCTTAATATTTTCATCGACCCGAGTGAAAATGTTTTTTCTCAGCTTCTCTGATCCAGAGATGTAAATGCAGTTGTAATTCTACTGTATGTTATGTCTACTTGTTCATAGCCTGAGGCATTAGAATACACATTTGGGGGGTTTAATTATGTGGTTTCTTACCAAGAAATGGGATCCAAGAGATTTTGTATCCAGAAGCCCCTGGTGCTTTTTTCCAAGATAGTGTGAAGGAATTTACTCCAATGTCCTCAACCTTCACCTCCCTCACTGGCTGGATTGGATCTGACTCTGACACTGCAGCTAAGCATAACATGACCACAGGAGATGTTAATCCAGGTTTTATACCATAAAGCTGTGACAATTTTTTTTTTCACATCACAATGCATTAAGGACCCAGAAATCATAAAATATGTGATTAAAATATCTGAAAAAATTGCTGATGTGACTTTACTTACCCCTCCCTATTATTTTACACTGTAATAAACTTAGCACTTGAAGCTCGGAATAACACTCTGACAGTGACAGTGATAGAATGATAGCAGCCCTGCTGACTTGGACTCAGTGACACATACTACAAGTGACAGCAGCAGGAACTGTGGTTATAACGGGAAGACCAAAGTACATGACATGTCAGTCAAACGGCGACACTTACGAGGGTTTATGTGGCACAGATTGGGGAACTTTGCCGTACCCTTCCCATTTAATTACGATGGGGGCACAGCTGCACAGAGCCATTTTAGATCTAAAGATGGCTCATGATAAATTCAAAGTCACTGAGACTTCACATATGTTTAGTACCTGTGAGCTGAGATAAGGAGATTTCTGGTCCCTCTGAGTTGCCATACACTGCACAGATGGTGACTGTGTAGGTAGACCGTGGATTCAGGTCTTTGAGACGATGGAAGAGGATGCTACGATCCAGGTACTGGACTTGGGGTTTGCTATTATCTGCAAGCATCAGACGAAAACAAAACAAAAGACAAATTATCTATCTATCTGTTGTAAAGATAATGTATGGTAAATAGAGGGTCTTTAATCGGGCTGGCATGCTGGCATGCTGGCATGCTTTAAAATGGTGTAATGGGAAGGAATAGGTATAAATATATTACCTGTTTTCCATGAGAGTTTGTACTCGGTGGCTCCAACGATGGGACTCCACGCCACATCTATAGTGGTGCTTGTGTAGGATGTCACCTTGAAGTTAGAGACATAACCCAAAGGAGCTGAAAAAATGAAAGAAAAAACATCAAGGGCTGATCTTATAAATACCCTGTTTCAAGTAAAAAAGATGAATCACAAATCTTTGGCGTTTTTGATTTCCTCATCGTGACTTTTTTTCTTAAAGCCCATTTTGGAAGTTGCTGAAAGTCTGCTGATCACTAAACGCACTGCTCACTTCAGTGTCAGGACTCCAATTCGTTGGGTGTGGTTACACATGTAACAGAGGTCAGTGACGATGTGTGTGGTCATGGTTAATACAAACAAAAAAGTCTGTTTAGCATGTAGTGTTGCCCCCAAAATTCGTTGTGCATTGCACCACTGAATTCAATTCTCTCCTCATAAACCATTTACATATCAAAATTTCTTATCAAGGTTTCAAGATTTCTTTGCATTCATGTTTATAAGGTTTAATGTTTAGTTTTTAATATTTTTCGTCCCAGGCATTGTTAGCTTGATAGTGAAAGCTTGATATAAGTGCTCCTGGATATCAGTGGAATGATGTGACATCATTATTACGTCACCTGTGTGCATGCACCCACAACAGACAAAACAGAGAACCAATAATGGGAACAGCTCCACAGCTCTACTGCTTATAGACTGTGCAAGCTGGCATATCTGAGTATTTTCAGTAATACAGAGAAGTTTGAAAAACTATTTAGCTTTCTAGTTTCAGTCATGAAAAAAACTCTTTTAGACTTTAAGAGAAGTGACAGAAGTAGGAACTGTGGTTGAAATGGAGTCATTCCTGTGCCCCAAGGGTCCTATGTTCCTGAGCTCTAAAAAGCACATAATGGGAAGCTGGAAAAATGCATATTTTCCAGCTAACTAAGCACCTAATGTGACTTATGACTTATGGGCTATTTTGGGTACGCGTCAAAAAGTTCTATAGAGTGTTACCCAGTGTTTTTGTATGTGTGTGTCTGCAATAGAATGGTAAAGCAATATTGAACTGAGGAAACATAGCACCATAAGAACATAGATATACTCCTGTTACCGTGGCCACATGCCAATCAAACAAAACCAGATGTCTTTCTCTCGCCATTATACTTACTGAATGACTGAGATGACGCCGCACAGAGGAACAAGACAACTAGAGGTCAGATTTCATTGATAACAGCCAGTAAGCATCCTGGGAAGCTGCTCCGGTAAGTGTGGAACACAATTTCTAAAAATAATATTTATTACATCTTTACTTCCTTCTAATAAACACTAAAGCTACACCCAAAAGTTTTCTGGGAAAAAAAAGTCTACTGAAAAAGATGAAAAAATGGCTTATTCCTACATATGAATATGATGTCTGGTGAACAAGGTTACTTACAAGTTCTGAAGGTGGCAGCGATGCCAGGTCCAACCGCAGCGCCAAACAGCACGTAAAGTGTCAGGACATACTCCGTATCATGGGCTACATTTTTCAGCTGGTACTGTGTAGTGCTGGTGTTCAGAGCCAATTGCCTGGGACGATCCCGACCAACAAACTCTAGAAATAATATTAACATTACAGTTAGTCTGTTATTCCTCAGTGACTTCAAACTTTCACTTCGTATCAGAGGCAAATATCCTCCTTCTTTCCCTGTATTTCATCGCAAGCTACTGTCATGTTGCTATGGTTAAAGTGTCCATTGAGAAAATAACTGAGTTGAGAATATCTGCAAAAAACAAGGGTAAACAGCGGCAGACAATAGTGACTGAATAAATCACCTGGGGTGGGTCTCCATGCCAGTCTGTATCCTGTAGCCCCCGGGACACTGTTCCATGAGACGACTGCAGTACTTGTGCTCACAGCAGATACTTTCAGAGTCTGTACTGAACTACTTTCCACTGACAGAAAGAGAGATAGTGAAAGACAAAGAGGACTGTTATGCATCTTATCTACTGCTTTGGTGCAATTTTATTTTGAAAATTTTTAATTACATGTCTTGATTTTCGCAGTGGTGATAGGCCCCTCAATGTCTCCAAAGATGGGGTTGATGGTGATGGTGTACTCAGAGCCTGTGTGGAGGCCCTGTATCATGTAGAAGTTAAAATTGTCCCCGAGGTTTATGTTTTCTATGTGGCCTTCTACAAGATATAAAGTGACATTTAAGCAAAGAGATGTATTAAATTAAATATTTCGCATTTTAGCTGTTTCGCAAGAAAGGTACTTAACCACAATACCTGTAGATGCCCATGTCAAACGGTATCCTGTAGCACCTTTAACTGATGCCCACCTTGCTTGAACGGTGTCTGTGGTGGCATTTTGGACCAGAAACTGATGAACTGGCACCAACTTCACTATTAAGCACATCCCACACATACATGCAAAGGTAAATTTAGGTGAATTATACACAATGACATGACAGAGTAGAGAATAGAGTCTGCTTGCTAATATTTTTTACTAAAACAATACCACCCTGCTGTGGAAATATTGTGGTACTGCACTTTAATATTTGCTCTTAGGTGTTGTTTGAAGAGACATTTAAAGCAGTTAATAAACTGCTTCCAGTGTGCCGGAGCGTGCTCTCTGGCTTTCCTGTTTATGTAAATGAACATAATGATGGGGTTTTGAGCCAAGCTAATAAACTTACATGTCTTCCCCACTACTGAAACCGGTTTACTTGGTCCTTCGGGGTACACAGCATAAATACTGACAGTGTACTTCTTATCCTCCTCCAGACTGTCAATCACATGAGAGGAAATGTCTCTAGGAAGCAGCTGCTCATAAATGAATCCTGGTCTGTTGGCTGGAGAACAATCATAAATGCACAAGAAATAATACTTTAAAAAAAACCTCTTTATTAGAACCCATTACAGCTTTCTTTCAACAAACCCCTCTGGAAACAAAGTTAACATCTAGCATGCTTAAATTAATTGACTACATGTTTTTCCGCTGGTGTGCAGTAAAATAAATAACAATAAATGCACTTATGTCAGCATACATCTCGGGATGAAGATCTTGAATCCATTTAGCTTCCCCTGGGGGGGTGTCCAGCCGAGGCGCAGGGAGAACAGGCCCTCCTCAATAACACGGAAGTTTGAAACTTCGGGCAAAGGCGCTGAAAGACAGACACCTGTTGCTCAGGGAAAGATGACAGCATACAATTAAAAATAGAGACACTAGGTGCATGAGCAGACACTCACTTGTCTTTACTTTGATTGTCGCAGAGTCTCCTATGAGGCCTGGGTACATGGCATAGACGGTGAGGGAATAGTCGGTTTTGGGACTCAGCTCTGTCACCATGGCTGTGCTCACATCTGCCTTCAGATCCATCTGTTACATACACAGACAGCAGAACAAAAGGATCTGAGTGTGTGTATGTTTGAGTGTGTATGTTGTGTTTCCCTGAGACATAAAGTGGAAGACAGAATGATGTTTAGAAGAGGATGATTGATTAAGAGGAAGAATGATCAAGTCAGAGCAGAAGATAAACATACCTGGAGGCTCTGCAATGGAACATTTTTGGGAAGTACGCTTACATAAATATCCTGCTGTTTTGCCTTTATTGCTTCAATTTCATTTATATATCTAACTCTAAAAACCACTGACATCTTTACAGTTTGTTTAGACTTTTGTCCACGATAATTAAATTAGGTTTTATGTTGCGTTTTATAACATAATGCAGAATCTAGGCAGAAACAAAGAAGCACTGATATCATTGAGACGACTGCTCATGTTGATTGCTTTTGTAAATGTTTCACCGAGTTTGGAGTGCTACACAATGACTGCAGGAGAGATAAATCTCACTGAAATGAGTCCACTACTTAGACTGATCACAGGGGTGAGCTGCTGTTGTCAGCTGTTTTAACTTTTAATATGAGAAGTTCATGTAATCGATGTGTTTTAAAGAGGAATTCCATGGAGAGTGAGGTGATTAATCAGCAGTAAAAAAAAACTGAGATGTCCAACTAATTCATGAATTAAATGCTTTACTGTCTATGAAAGTCAGTATGATGACATATTGCATGCTCTAGCTCAACAATAATGCAACAGTGACCTTATCTATGGACAATTCCTCACCTGCCTCTGCTGCACAGGAAGGAGTTGTCCCTCCGAGCTCAGTGGAGTGACCAGGAGGCGATATCCGGTGACATCACCCGTGGCCTGGCTCCACGTCAGTCTAAGAGAACTGTGGGCCAGTTCGCTAACCTGAAGGTCTCTGGGACCCACCACACGTTCCTCGCCTACGATTAAAAGTAAGTGTAGAAAGAGTGATGAGACAGACGGGATGAGAAGTGGAACATGGAGCAGAAAATATGCAAGTTGATGTAAAATATGTCTACAAGATAGATTATGTTAGCAAAGAAGCTGCAGAGTACAGTGAAATAAAAGAACGTTATTATTCATTTTTATTATACCTTTCAAGTGCGAGAGTGCAATACAATTCGTCAATATGAAAATGCAAACAGCTGTCAGTGAGTAGGCAGCTTTTTCAGCATATTACGAAGAACTTACTAGGCTGGGAAGTTTTCACAGGACGTGGGGGTTCAGAGGCAGTGAGGCACACTCTGCGGGACAGTTTGGGGAGGATGGTGTCCATGGTAGAGAAATCAGTGACCGGCAATAGATGCTCGGCATGTGGCTCCGACACAACCCTCCTAAGCTCTGCCTCATCAACCCCCGTGAGGCCTGGTTTTCAGTATAAATAAGAAGATAATGAAATAAAGTCTTTTATGCCAAGGTGCATAAAAATGTCTCATAACCAATTCAAGATGATAAACAAAAAAAATGTGCACATATGACAAGATTTTTTTAAAGGTATTATTAACAAATTTTTGATTATGTGGAAGTTTACTCGATTAATGCACACTGTGTGGATATTAAATGGTTTTGTTTGTATTTCTTCTGATCTCCACCAGGGGGAGGTGTTGCATTTTGACGGATTCAATATGAAAAGCTCCAATATGTGCCCATATACACATATATTTTACATATAAATAACCACAGTCATTCAATTTCTGGAACGAATCTCAGTTTGTGCAAGTGGGCCCTAAATGCCAAGGCGTGAAGTATTTAAGTATTTAATTTTTCCTAATGCACAAAAGAAAACCACTGGGAGATTTTTGCATTTTGCAACTCTGAATAAGTTGTCTACAGTATGAAATTTGCACATAAACAACATGAATGTGCATGTTGATTTCTTACGAGGTCTAAGGCTGCATAGAGCAGGGAGGCGCTGACATAATTAAATTTATGCTTTCCAGGCTGCTCTAGCTCTACAGGTAATATTGGCTTTGCATTAGCGGTCAAGATTCATGTCGAGCTGCCACGCGGTGGTGATGAACAAGAGGAGCAGGTTTTGGTGTCAGTGGTGGGGGTGGGTGGGTTGGGAAGGCACAGAATTGCCTAATGAAAAATGACTGCGATTAGCACACCATTGGCTAATGAGCAGTAATTATTGCATCGCTGCAGGCTGTGAGGAGTAAGTTGTGGGCTTGTGTGCTTATGCCTGTGAGTAGGGGGAAAAGGGCAAGGTACTGTATGTGCAAGTAAACTTGGTGCATTCATAAGGAGGGAGAAAGATGATGCAACACTATCAGAAAGTGTGCCTTTACATACAAAGCACAGAAGCTGGATCGATCAGTTATCCTTACACACACACACCTGTGTATACATACAGAAGCATGAGCGCGCTCAGGTACTCAGAAACAAGACTCCTACACACAAATACCCACACTGAATCCAATGAATTCAAATGCACAGGACATGAATTTCTAACTGCAAACACTGCAGATAAGCAGGCAGAGCTTGGATAAAATCTGAAGGGCTGCTGCAGTGGGGATGTTGAAAGAATTCACAATAGCAACTTCCACACTCACCTACTGCAAAGACAGTAATTCCATTGTCTGCTACTGCTCTGACTGCAGCATTGACCTGGTCGTCCGACTGTCCATTTGTGAGCAAAACAGCAATCTGCACAGGACAGAAAATGGCATATGTAAAGAAAAGACAATAATGTGAAGATCTGCTAATTCTTGATAAATGAATGCATAATATAAAGCTAGTAAAATGTATTATATTTAAACACATACGGGTCATTTTCAGCTGCTCTCTTTCAACCTCTGTTTTCAACTATTGTTGGCATCACTGGAGGCTTAAATCAAGCCTCCAAACAACATTTGTTTGTGTTAAAAGAGCATCCATGCAAACAGTACCATTCTCATGAAAGCCTCCAAAGCCTTTTGATGCAGTTTAGCACATAATTGAAAACATAATTAAATAAATCAGACCCAAACTCAAAGTGGAATTCAAGGATGCTGGCTTGCAGCTGAGTCTAATAATTTCCCCATTAAGGAAAATTCTCTCAGTTCACTCAAAGTTCACCCCTCAGTCAGTGAGGAAGGGAGGTGGAGAGCATCCACAGGAGAATGTAGTTGCTGCTTTGCATGCTGTACAATTCAATATATCAGCCTAATCCTCAATTCTCCACCTTCCCATATCCAGTGTGCTGTAGCAAGATGATTCACACATGCACACAGAGATAGAGAAATGATTAGAATGCTAACCAGCTGTGTTATACTGTGACTACACTACAGTATTAGACTGTCAGGGAAATGTGTCTGATAGAAAAGGAGAGTTGTGGGAAAGAAAGTGTATCTGGATATTTGACAAGGAACTTCTGAGACAAGTTGGTGAATGTGGCATTTTTGTTAGGATCCAAGAAACGCACCAAGCCCAATTTAACACTTGTTTTTTTAAGGTCATTGGCATAAACCAAGTTGAGTCACTGTGGATGACCATCTGTTGGATGTTTAGCAGTCACGCCTTATCTCCATCTGATAATCGATGAAAATCTGTGGTGGAAAATGTATTTTCTTTATCTTTTATTTTTCCTCCAAAGCACCAGAGAAAGCAAAATAAATCCTGTTCCCTGTTGCACCTTTCAAATATTATCAATTTGTATTCTCAGCATATAACACGATGGTTTAATCAGATTCACAGCAGTGTGAGAATGGTAAACCTGTTTATTTGTTTTTTCCACATGTCCTGTGGAGTGGAAATATAGATTCCTGACTAGTCATTTCCTTTCACACAGGGCCTAAACAGACAGTACATGCATGTTTTTGCAGCATGGGTAGTAATCTCAAATCAATAATTTCCCCAAAGCCTGTGAAACAACATGTTGTCAAAAATTACCAAGATTTAAATTTCTCTTTTTCAGTGTATAACAATCCACCTCGCTGTGTAAAGCAGCGTACCTTCGGGACAGAATCCCGCCTGATGACGGGGCTGAAAACAGAGTCGACCAGAAACTGGAGTGCCATGCCAGTCCTCCTGGATCCACCTTCATAGGGAAGGTCTTTGATGGCTCTGAGTACCTCCTCAAGGGAATTGTAGTCTGTCAAAGCAATCCGCATCCTGCATGGACATAGAAGCACAAAACTGGATCAGATAGAAACATTTTTCCACATTAGACCACAGAACTTTGACATAAATGCAAAGGACCAAGACTCCTATAATTGAGTTGATTGTTTTAAAATCCAACTTCCAATTTCCACAGATGCTCAATAGAATTGAGATCTGGGGGATTTGGAGGCCAAGTCAATACCTCAAACTCATTGTTGTGCTCCCCAAACCATTCCTGAGCCACTTTTTTCTGCTGAAAGAGGCCACAGTCACTAGGGAAAACCCTTTCTATAAAAGGGTGTTCACAATCTGCAACAAACCACGTGATGTAAAAGGAAATGTGATTTGTTAGACCGGGACACCTATGGCTCAGTTTCTAATTCTCATGAGCCCATTGATGGTGCTTTCACCACTAAAGAGGTTTTAAGTATGGACATGCAGCCACCACAAAGGATTGTGTATTCTGTCACCTTTCCATCAGAACCAGCAATAACTCCTTCAGCTATAGTAGCTCATCTGTTGGATCAGACAACACAGGCTAGCCTTTGCTCCCCTAGTGCATCAGTGATCCTGTTGCTGGTTCACTGGTGTTCCTTCCCCAGACCACCTTTGATAGATACCAACCACTACAGACTAAAAATAGCCCAGAAGAGCTGCAGACAACCCAGTTGTCTAGCCACCAACATCTGTTTCTTGACAAACTTGCTCAAATCCTTACCCTTGCCCATTTCTCCTTCTTGTAACAAATCAAACACATCAACTTTCAAGGACAAAAGGTTCATGTGCTCCCTAGTATATCCCACTAGATACTGGAGCCATAATGTAGAGATGATCAGTGTTATTTACGTCTCCTGTCAGTGGTCATAGAACGTGATCATGTAGAAAAGACAGCTGAATCTAATTTATGCCAAGCTGCCACAAAGGTTCATGCGATGTGCCAAGCTCAGGACTGACTTCTACCTTGGAACATCCCCAAAGACAGTGACTCCAAAACGGACCCCATCAGCTCCGACCACATTGTCCTGAAAGGAGGAGATGATGGCTGAGATGAAGTCTTTGACTCTGGAAAAGTCTTTATGACCCACGCTCCAGGACTCATCCACCAGAAACACTATGTCGGCCTGAACCACTGTCCTGCATGCTGAGGAAAGAAGAAAAGATTAATTAATATGTGTAAAATGGTAGCATATACATGAAGCATGGAAAGACACAATAAGATATATTTTAAGAAGATTCAAGAATTAAAAAGAAATGCACTAATACTAATACGTAGCTATTATTCCATTACCTCGTCAGTAACTTCAAAAAAGGTGAAACTTCTATATATCTCTATACTCTCTATATCCTTTTTTGTATTTTTATGGCTCGTGGATTGTGAGTTCTCCAAATTCTAATTCTACATAAATACCCAACAGTTCCTGAAAGCTATGCTGCCTACAGATTGGTAGAAACTGTCATCAACCACTTAAATGGCACTTTACACCGTGGTTTACTGACACATATCGTTTGGTTACCAGGGTAATATCGGTTCTCTGAAAACCGACTGAGAAAACCAAGTGAGGTTTTAAACAGAACTCACTTTTTTAAAATTTACTTAACTAATATTGCCCTCATTTGAGCTCATTAACTAAATGTTTTAATCTATTATCTATCACTATCAGTGCTACTTTAATAACTTTTAGTATTATAAATTGCCCAAGCCATATTTGAATATTTTATCCTTTACTTAAAAATGCAATCTATCATTTTCAGCTACTGAATTTGTTTGGGTTTTTTTCTTGTTTTTTTTTTTTCTTTTTTTGCTGGTTTCAAGACTTGAATAAGACATTTTATCAAAATGTAATTCTCCATTACATTTATCTTTAAGGGTTTCCCTCTGAAACCTCAAAAACACTAATTTAGCCTCCTGCTGCTTCAGACATCTTTAATTCCTACATTGACCACCAGATAGCAGTCTTGTTCCACCTTGCTGAGGGGATTCCTTTCATTTGCTTCTGTCATGCAGCCAGAGCCTCACACAAATCCTTATGAATTTTTAATGAGACACAAGTGAGCCAAAGAGACTATCAATATTCTGAGCACTCCAGCAATAAAACTTTAGTACAGCGATGAGAAACGCTTAGAATAATAAGGTAAACACACCCAAAATCAGGGTCAGTACCCTTGCCCAAGCAAACAAACGCATTTAAAATAAGAATCTGCTGGGTTTGATGGGATTTAGATGCTTTTTTGAGTGAACTGGTGCACTGAATACGCAAGTGCACCGACACATATTCACATGCACAAACTGCTGTGTCTGCAAACACCTTGTAAGTCAATATTCTGGTATTGCATATGCAATAAACCAAAGTGACAACAGCATTGATTAGGCTAGTGAATAGGAGATAGGCGCAACTGATTGTTCTGTAAGTGATAAGCGATTCTCTGCTGTCTTCTATTTCATTATCAAGCTTTCTCTCCTCTATTATCTCACCCTTCTTCCTTTGGCTGCAATCCCAGGATTCACTGGGGGTGACATATGTCTTCAGCCCATAGCGGCCTAACATTATGTTCCTCCTCACACACCTATACATTTCTGGCCATACACCAAGGAAACAAAATATCACCGGGAATAGCATTTTGGAGGCCTCTCAAGCACTATTATCTTTGGAAGCTGTAGTATCATATATTCAGCAACAGCAGATCTATTAGCGAGGACTTATACTCATTGATGCACTTTGAAGAGATAAAACAATGTTCATACTTTCCGGTCCGAGTTGTGCCTCATAAAAGCAACTACCTACCCTATAATAAACATGTGGCTTTTCCATTTACTGGATGCATTTCACACTTGAAGGATTTTAGTAAACGCACATAAAATGTTGTGAAGACTGAGCGAAGAAGCAGCTGGAGGTTGGTGTCTGTCAGACAGACACAGACTGGGATGGAAAACAAGATCAATTATCCAGAAGTTCGTCTGTCTAGGCTGGCAGGTGAGATCGACATGCCCAGGATAAGGACACAAAACATGCTGAGGGATTAGGAATGGTTTTCTTGAAGGTTATATATGTTGATATCTCAAAGGTTGCATACACCTTGGTGTTGGACCACCACTGATTTCCACATTAGATGTAGCCCAGTGGCTTGAGCATATGCTGCAGAAAATTCTGCCAAGAAAGAAAAAGCCTCAGAAATATTGATGCATTACTCCAATCACCTCTGACAAGATTAAGACATGAGATCATAAGATGTAACCCATCAGAGAGCACACATCAATAAAAATGCAATTAACAATAACATGTATTGTGCTACAAAATAATCGTTAAGAACATAGGTGAGAACAGGAAGTAGTTGCTCAATAAAGCCTATTATAAGCCTAAGGGCCCTTTGCTTTCGAGGGCTATCAGTCATTGTGGCAGCACGGCAGTATTTTTGTCTTGGTCTCCACCAACTACTGAGATTAAAATGGGATTTTTTTATATTACATTTTCCCAATGAGCCAGTTGCTAATTTTTTAGTGCATGCTGTTTGGTGTTGGGCAGGTATGCACAGTGAGTTTGTCATAGCTTATTTAATGAGAACAGCTGCTTACTGCTGCAGAAAAGACAGCTGGCAAAAGTGGCTGAAACTGCTTCTCTCAGTAAGTTTGTGGGATCTAAATCACTGAGTTAAAAGAGGCTACAAAACACTAATGATGCTGAAAAGTTGGGTTAAAGTTATCTGATTGTTTCTCACAATGAGCAGCTTCCATACATTATTGCTTATTTGTTGCTCGTATGAGATGAGATTATTTAATGACAATTATACAAACCTATTTCCTGTGTTTTATGAAACACAGGACCTTAAGAACAATGTTGGGTTAACAATTAAAACTATAATTAATCAACAGTAGGAGCACCTGCATAGGAAGCACAGCTTTTAATGTATTCTTGGGCTATTTATAACCTTCCATAATTCTGCCCAACAACTTTACCAATCACCTTCTGCCAATCACAATCCAAGTGGAGGAAATCTAACTTTTGATTGGCTCGTTGACCTTTTGGTGACATCCAATAGCACCTGAGGCTGGAGTACTGTATCTAGGGGGATGGGTTTGACAGCGTAGCTGACAGAGTGCTGTACTGTACATGAGGGCAGCAGATGTTTAAATTCCCTGACTAGACAGAGTCTGGAGAGAAAATGTAGCTGGGCTAGTGTCTGCCCCATGTACCAATCCAGGTGTGGAGATTTAATGATGGAGCACTCGCACAGACTCTATTCATTGAGCACCTGCCCTTTCCTTGCCCTGATCATCCAACCTGTCTAATTCATAGATCTGTGCACCAAGCTAACAATTGGACATGTGGCTGTGACTCAGAATAATACGTACCTAACTCTTTTTTCACAGACAGAAAATGAAATGGAGAAAAATGACTGCAAACATGAGTCACTGAGTTAAATAAATCAATCATCAAGTAACTGAGGGGGTGGAAAAAGTAAGGAGGAAAGTTGATGTGCTATAGGAGAAGGGAATTTCACGCAAATTAATAAATTCTGTAAGCATGCAGTACACAGGTTTATAAATATGACGACTCACCTTCAGCTTGCGCTGCAACACTTTGATGAGTCAGATAAAGGGACAGTAGAAAGATGCACACAGAAGAGTGACCCATACTCTTCCTCGTCTTCCTCCTTCAGTCACCTTCTCCTCCTCCCCAGTTCCTCTCTTCACAAATGCAGTTCCTAAATTGCACTTCACAGTCATCAATCCCACCTTTTCTTTTCTCCTATCTGAAAAATATGCAAAAGAACAACAAGAAGAAAAAAGTAATTACAGGCCCTCAAAGATAAAAACATAATCAGCTTTTTTTTTTTCATTTGTGAGGGAGTTGGAACTCTTCTGCAGAAGCCAAGCTTTTGGTGTTTGCTAAGAGTATTTTTTTTAATTACAGTAATACACAAAGAAGAGTTTAACAGCGTAGTTCTGCCGTACTCAAGAGACTTGTAGACATGTAACAATGACTGACTGGCATACTAATCAAATAAATAGGTCCAGGTTAGAAACTTTCATGTCATATTATACATGAACTCGGATGTCTTCTTATACACTTCCATGTCCTTAACAAGCGCATAATGTGTTTGATAATTATTATATGTCCAGGTGCAGGCAGGAGCCTCCCTGTAAACACTTTTATAACAAATTCCACTGACGCCAAGGAAATTAAAGCATCAAAGGGGTTTTTATACTGTCCAATAAGGACCCGTTGATTTAAAGCACTTAGCATTTAATGTTATTGTGTTGATAATCTACTGTAGCTGTCTTACAAAGCAGATCCTCCTGGGATCTCAACATACAGGTTGGCATAAATGTGTAAAACTGTTTATGACATGCTGTTTAGTGATGAAAAAAAGTCCTCTATTCAAAGGTATAAAAGTTACAAGAACCTTGAGGATACAACTCAGCGATAAATCATTTGATCACAGCCAAAACAGAGACAGGATAAGTCATAAATGGAGTGCACTGTACATTTCTAATCATAACTACCTCTTTAAGATGTTTGATGGCTTTATGGCTTAAGCTAACATGCCATTACAGTGGCTTTGACATAGTGTGCTGGATAAGTCATATTTGCAGTTAAAATGCAAACACTAGAGTCCTGTTTTTATGGCATATATTCTTAATAATTCCATCAGCAAGTGTGGGCATCTTTACGAAATGAGATGTTTTGGCAGTTTGCTGCTCTGCAGGACTCAGATCTGTATTATTGCAATGCCACAAACTTCCCAGGAGTGGAAGTCGTAGCACATTTACCCCAAGGCCAACGGAAAATAACATTCTCAGAAAAATAGCAAAAAACAAAGAGGCTTTGTTAGCATGTTAAATGTTAAAGTTCACAATCCACAGGACCATGTTGACCACAAACACCTCATATTAACTGTGAAGCACGGTGGGGAGCGATGATTTGGGCTTGTCCATGACCTCCTCTTTATACCAAAGTATTCTAGAGTCAAATCCAACAGCTAAAAATTGACAACAGTGATCTCAATCACAGCAGAAATCTATAACAGAATGGCTGAAAAACAAAGATAATCAAGGTGTTGCAATACCCCTGAAAAAGTCCAAACCTCAACATGGCTGAAATACAGTGGCAGGAGAGCTGTGCATAAACCAATGCCCACAAACCTCGATTAACTGAAGCAACATTGTAAATAATAGTGGACCAAAATTCCTCCACCACAATATGATAGACTTACAACGTTGTATAGACAACAATTACATTTGTACAAAAGCTGGTTCTACAAGCTACTGAATCATAGTTTTTCACAAGAGCCTATGCAGTCCTGTGAAAACGTGTTTTTTTCACGTGACAGCAGATAATGAGAAGAAAGATAAATAAATATGGACTGTAGCTACAATGTTAAGATAAAAAAAATTACCAGAGTTTGGTTTTGGGTGTGTGAAAGGCAAAGTGGGTGGAGATGGCCAGTATTTCTAACAGGCACATTCAGATGGATGAGTCTCACCAGTGAAAACACAAGCATTCTTCACAAGAATCTAGATAGAGGGAGAATAATAGTTTTTGCTATGAGAGTAAACAGAGGCCCAGTAATGATCTGGAATAGAGAAAATCCTTCTCTTATCTTTTTGACTGCAAAAACCGCAAGTCTGATTTTCATTCGTATGCTAGCTGATTTATAGGAATATTATCTCTCACAGTGGTGTACACCTGGTTATTTCAGAAATGCTCCTTTCTGTCTCAGTTAGCTGGGGGGATGTGCCTGTGTCTGTATTATAGGCTGTTTAAGGCAAGTAGGAGAGTACTCTGAAAATATTACTGGAGCTTCTTTACTCTGCCCTTGGTTTTCACTACTTGTGATTGTGGCTCAAAGAGTTGGCAGTTCGTCTTGTAACCGGAAGGTTGCCGGTTTGAGCCCTGGATCGGACAGTTTTGGTCGTTGTGTCCTTGGGCAAGACACTTTACCCTACCGCCTACTGGTGTTGGCCAGAGGGGCCGATGGCGCGATATGGCAGCCTCGCTTCTGTCAGTCTGCCCCAGGGCAGCTGTAGCTACAACTGTAGCTTGCCTCCACCATTGTGTGAATGAATAGTGGAATTGTAAAGCGCTTTGAGGGCCCTGAAAAGCGCTATATAAATGCAATCCATTATTATTATTACATAGAAATTGATTATGCTTTGGGTCAGAATAAATGACTAATGCATTTAAAAACTCCCAGGTACTCCCAATGTTATGAGAATAAGGCAACCTTTTGTAAATATCCCCTCAGATTTAATATAAAATTAACAATGTATGGATGCGTTTATTCATTAACAACTAACTATTGTACTTAGTTCATCTCTCTAATCTCAACATGATTCATGTATAATTCTGCCAGAAGTGGAACAACCCCGGAAAACATGTTTCATATGGGCCAATTTCATTATTGGACGCAGGATGCTATTATTCTGTTTATTTGGCACATAAATAGGAACATATCCGGCCCCAAATAATAGCTTTATTAAGAATAGCGTCTCCTTTATGTCTGCCATCTTTGCATCATGCATCACACTTATGTATTCTTAGTTGGATAAGATTAACATAAACATATCAAAAATTCAAAAGCTACTTTTTCCTAGCATTTTGCCTAAAGCTGTCAAACTACTTATAACACATCTTTTGTTACACTAATGCTTGTTGAGTAAATAGACTCTAAAAGATAAATACACTAGGAAAATCTACACATTTATTTCAGTGTACAACCCCCAAATATTCTTATCATTATGTCCTCATAGATACAGTAAGAACAGAAAGCCTCGAATGACAAAGACCTTGGAGAAAGAAGAGAAATGGGGAGTTAAAGGGCTTGTTAATATTTGCCACTGTTAATGGGTGGCCAACATGATTTTGTCTTGCCTTTTATTACCACTTCTAGCTCCAGCACGGCAGTCCACAACAGACATCTCTGAGGTTGTATCAAGCCAGGATATCTCACCCCTTGGTCATTCTCAGACTTAATCAATAGACAGCTTGCTTGTGTGCCCCGCTCTGAGAGCATGGGTTAAGTTCAAAAAGACCTTTGACTGCAAAGATTTCTTTCTCCTGAGTCCCAATGCTTCCACAGACCTCTTCATCTTTCCCCAACAAGCTCAGCTTTTCAAGACGGACAAGGAAAACAGATCAGATGTTCAACTAATAATTGCTTTATGTTTTTCAGTTAGCTAACAAAGAAAGAAAAAATGTATTTCTTTCAGCAACAGGCCAGACACTATGTGCAGACATGCCCAAATTAAAACAGTCTAAAAACATAACTCAGGGCATGCATTATCTCCCATCCATCCCCAACTCTCACACTTACTGCAGTTTCAAATAACTGAAAAAGTTTACATGAACAAAGTCAAATTGGTCAGCGTCTACACAGATACCACGTCAACTTGTGACAAAAGAATATGGACAACCTACTTTATTAAAGGATTAAATGTAAGACCAGCATCAGAATGTAAGGAGACTAAATCTAGCATTTAATTCTATGCCGGATAAAAGCTTTAAAATGCATGGACTAACACAGAGAACATTGTTTGTGTTATGTGTTACATTAGGTTTGTATTCATACACTCTTTATAGTGGATTGTGCACGTACCTCCATGTCCGTGAGTATTGCATGGGCATGTGCAAGTTCATAAGCATAACATCAAAGAGAGACCTGCCTTCACTCAACTTCTACACATGAGATGGAAACAGAACACATTTCTTTTACCTTTAAACATTTACAATCCATCCATCGAGCTAATTCATAAACTTTAATGCTTGCCCCATGAGAGCATATTTCACCAATAAATGTATATAATGATAACATAAAAAATAAACCAATCAATATGAAACAATCTGAATTCCAGAAAATTCCTCAGTGTGATTTGACCATCTGGTCTGACTAAGCCAGAATGGCTGAAGGCTGAATAGTTTACAACCTCTGCAGATGGAAGTGAGAGCTGGCAGGCTTGAACTGTAATATAACACAGCCAAAAAACTACACTCTCCCGCTGGCTGCCCCCTCACATACCAATGCAGATCTGAGATCTGTCTCTGCACGTATCTTCTTATTACTGAAGTGAAGGGAGGACAAACTCACACTGTGTTGTGATGAATGGCAGCCGGTGCAGTGCACCATTATTGAGTATTCATCACTCATCATCATCATCATCATCAACCTTCGGACTTCTAAATAGGTTTGCATCTTTATTTGGAAAAGGTGTGAAAAAGCAGAATGTGAAAGTCTTGTGACAGCTTCGCTATGGTGAAATTCTTTTGTAAGCCTTTTCTTTTCACTGTATACAGAAGTTTCTAGAAGAAAATATGGAAATATATTCAGAAATGTGCCAACATCTACTTAAACATTCAATCAAATTTTATGAGAATGAAATTAAAGTATTATGTGCTCCTCCAAATATTGTAAGGGCCACCCTAGCAGCTCTGAAATGATTTGAGATAAACATCCTCACACTGATCATGCTAACCGGTGTTGATCAGGTGTGCAGTTTTAAACATTTAGTAAGACTTCTTTTTTGAAGACATTGGGTTTTAAGTCAAATTTAATTAGTTGTTGAGATATTTCAACCTAAACCAGTATTGGACCAAAAACATGATTAATGACTACCATAATTTGTCATGCCCAATATCACAGCTTTCAACAACAGTACTACAGGATACAGTGCAGAGCAAAAGTCTTAGGCCATGTTTCATTTCTTTATATTTTGCTATGAAAATGGGAAATGGGTTCAGGGATTAAAACATTTGCACATATACATACACAGCCTGAACTCTCTTCAGGAATATTTCAAAGCTCCTCTTTGGATGCTGGCTGACTTTGACTCCATTCTCTGTTAAGATGATCCCAAACTGTTTACATGACTCAGTCATGGATCCATTAGATGTTTTTCTGTGCAGTTATGCTTTTACTGCACTGGCAGTGTGTTTGAGATCTTTGTCGTGCTGTAAATGAATAGCTGAATAGAGATGGTACTGCATGGTGGATCAAAATCTGATGGCACTTTTCTGCATTCATAATAAAAGATCCTAGCACCACTGGCTATAATGCAACCCAAACCATGACAGAGCCTCCACCGTGTTTTACAGATGGCTCTAGACAATCACTGTCGTACCTCTCTTCCTCCCAACATAGTGACACCAAATTGAATCATGAATTTCAAATTTGGATTGATCACTCTATAAGATCTGCTGCCACAGATTTAAAGTCAAGTTATTGTGGCTTTTCTCTCTGTTTATCTTCTTAAAGCCACTGTTCCACAGAGAAAATTTCTGATGAGGCTCCAGCAAACATTCGAAGGATCAACTGAGTCAGGTGTGAAGTTTTTGCTGGATTTTTTCCTTTTTCTTAAAGACATTAATTTCAGACTCTCTTCATCTCCTCTGGATTTTTAGACCTTCCACTTCTTCTTTTGTGCCCCACTAACCAGTTTTCTCAAACTTTTTAAGGAGACACTGCACACCTTGCAACGACACAACAAGTTTTCAACTAATAGCAATTTGGAAATCACCTTGTTGGTGCAAAAATACTAATTTGTGCTTGTCAAACTGTGTTATGACTGGCATTTTTATAGATCCAAATGAAAGTATTTCTCGTATTTCTCCAATCAAAAGCTCAGCTTAGCTATAAAAACAGCTGCAGTGGATGCATGGGTATGCACGCTGGGATTACAAACACCTTGCTACCTTCAAGAAGAAAGAAAATGTGCTTTTTTTCTGTCAGAGGCCTTTAGTTTATCACTGCAGCGAGAGGATTAAATAATGTTTCCAAATGAAGTTTACTGTCCCTGGCCCTTCTACCCCCTCTGTGTTCCCTATCTCTATTTCTCACCCACATCCACTCACACATCACATGCCTGCAAGTCTAACTGCATGTCAGCTATTTCTACATAATGGCATTTTCCACCTCACCACTTCACAGGATGGATTATCCTTGTAGGTGGGAAACTGGTGACAGTGAAATGACACACACACACATACGCGTAAGGAAGCACACACAGAGACACAGAGACACAGCTCAGAACTACATTGTATGATAACAGATGTCTTTGGTGCAACACATCATTTCTATAGCTAATACACACACTCACAAAACCGCAGACTCTCATGCACAGCTCAAAGGCTGCAGTATGGCTACTGTCTTAATATCTCTTTACATTTGCACGCAGCCAACACAGACATGTCTACGCATGGAGGGAAATCGACAAGCATTCATTTGACATAGTTTCATCTCCTGACAATGTTCTTGCAAACAACCTGGTATGCTCTTATTATTTATGACACACAAGAGTTTACATGACTGTAAAATGCATTACATCTTCTTTTGTGCTCCTTTTCAACCCGAATGTTTAAAATCTGTAGAAAAACACAGCAGTCATCCAAAAACAGACAACAAAGCATGCAGGACTTTGGCACTGCATGGGGATGTCTGTACATATAAGTGAATGTTCTTTAACAGAGGAGGATGTCCATTCACAGCAAATAATGTATCTGATGAGCACTGATATCAGACAAGTTGAGCTATTAAAGAAAAACTTTACTGTAAAAAGCAGCAATAATGGCTCAGTATAAAAAGTCCAGACACTTACGGTGCAACAAGGGTATCTGGCCAGTTAAGAATTCAAAAGCACCCTGTAAAGCACCATATTAAAAGGCAGTTAAGCTAATGGCTTTTCAATGGGCCCATGCATTTTCACTTACCAATACACACAAGTTATTATCTTCCAAATCCAGGTGATTTTCTTTTGAGGGTAAAAAGAGGAAAAACACCCCCTAAAAATACATATAAAAAGCTGCATCCGAGTCAGGCAAAAGCAATTCTGGATTTTCTGTTGTATCCTTGTAGAGGCAGTTATTAGAGACTAAATCCGCACGTGTGTGTATCTATATGTGTGTATCTGAGTGACAGAGGGGGTAGGCGTGTAAGAGTGAATGAATGAAGCAGGTTTTCTTTCCTGGGCTTTGCTCAGGCACAGAAAAGTTTGGGAAGAGGGGTGGGGGTGACGCTGCAGCAACCTGTTGGCTCAGAGGGAGAGAGAGACACGGAGGTAAAGGCATAGATGCATACTGAGAGAGAGGTGGTGGTTTCTGTGGAGCTTTGGCCCTGTTGCATTGTTACTTTTCTAACAGTGCTTGTGTGTAGCACGGAGGCCTCAAGGTGACAGAATAACTGGCAAAGAAAAACGGTGTTAAGTACTTTGAGGTTAACTCTGCAATAACCCACAATCATACTGCAAGTTGAATCTTCCCTCAGTCGGGACTGTGAAAATCAATCAAAAACTGTCTTTATGCCAACAGAACGACTTCTGCATGTCAGTAAAAATAATTTTCAGGATTTGACACCAAGTGCTGTGTCTCACATCTATTACTGTGTGTTTCATTTGGCAGCATTTCAGTTTCCCAGAATAAAATATTGATTTGCAAACCATCCAAAGTGTCAACAAAAATCTACCCTGACTTTGCACAATGTTCTATTCATCCTATTATTCCTTATGAAACATCAAATAAACAAAACACAACATGATAAAAGTACAGAAAACAGCTAGGGTTAGGTTGTCGAACCATGAGTTCTTGCTCCAAGCTATGTATACTCACACACAGATCCATCATCAGAGGCTATCGAGGTTATTGCTTTATTGCTTGTAGAGCATGCAACTCCTCAAAACAGAAGGGGGGTGAAAAGAGAATAAACCTATCATGTTTAACACCCCATCTGGTGTGCGAGTCTATGTGTGTGTGTTTCTGTGTATGCTAAGGGGCAACGGGTCATCTTTATGGACCCCAAGAATGTGGTTACCAATTTCACAGGTTTTAGCCAGCTGGCAGTCTTGACATGCTGTAACTCAACACAAATACTGTACTCTTAAGGCGGAGTTCATTCAGATAACAGTCATGAGAGGTGGTACAATGCATCCATGTAATTTTACTATTAGAAACCGTTCATTACCGCCTGACACAAAGATGCAAAATTATAGTGGCGGCTGAAGTAATATCTATCTTTTTACATCTATAAAGAGTATATTCATCACCACCCCAAGATTTCCAAATAAATACTTCCGGAATTTGTGTAGAAATAGTGCAAACATGCAAACAATGACTCATCCCATGCAGCTGCAAGATCAAGTGGAAAGGTCTCGGGCTGAAACTTTAAGAAAACACAGAAGAACCAAATAACTGCAGTTCCTTATTTAGCCACGTGAGGCTCCATACTGTCAGTGAGTCTATCTCCCTAAAACCCAGTGTTAAAATGGCCAACGTTAGGGCAACAATATACATGTTTACTGAAGACCACTTCCATTCCACCCTCAGTAAAAACTGTGAGTTAAAAATCCCCTTTTAAAACATATTAAGGCTTAAATGCTTATTTGGATTCTTTGTTTTGGATGACATTTGGATGCTGTTGTCTTGGTTGGTGTTCAGCTGTAATAAGCAACTCTAAAGAGTCAACTGCTCGTGTTTCTATAGAAAGTGTATTTTCTTTTTCAGTTTGCTTTTTGCTAGCCGATATCACAGTTACTATGTAGATGCCCCTTGCTAACTTTACAGCTAAGCTTACGGATAGCAGAAGTATTAGCTATGGTGTCATGGTCTCTTCTTTTTATGACAATCTGTAAACATCTGGGAACCGAGAAGACAAGTTGAGGAGACGAGGAGTTCTATATCAGACAAGACAAGTCCCATTCTTACCGACGCTCAACACTCGTTCTTTGTTATGATTTTTATTTCATGATGCACAGAATATTTTCAGTTGGTTAAAGGTCATCACCGCAGAGAGGCTAGTTCAGAACTTAGACTCTTTTATTACAAAGCGACGCAGTACAGCTTTGTACTAACTTGCTGAAATATTTAAACCTTCCCTGAAATCAAGCAGAGCGTTTATTCCTCTAAAGCCCGGATATAACTTTCAGTAATGACGGTATTTTTCCAGCTCCACCAGCACTAATGCACCCCCATCAGAGACGCAGGCTTTTTGAACTGAGCGCTGATAACACACCAGATGGTGTATGTTCTCTTTAGTTTGGAGGACACAGTGATGTTTTCCAAATGAAATAACAAAATTTTGATTTATCTGACCACAGTTTTGCTCAGTCCATTTTAAATGAGCTTTGGCAGAAAGGAGATCGTGGTATTTCTGGATGATGTTCACATATGGCTTCTTCTTTGTATGATAGAGCTTTAATCTGCATTTGTGGATGGTGTGGTGAACTGAGTTCACAGACAATGATTTCTGGAAGTGTTCTTAAACCCATGCAGTGATTTCCATGACAGAGCTACGCCTGTTTTAATGCAGTGCCGCCTGAGGGCCCAAAGATCACAGCACAGGCTTCCAATATTAATTTTGACCATGTCCATTGAGATTTTTTCCTGATTCTCAGAAACTTTTGATGAAATAATGTACTGTAAATGGCGAGATATTCAAAGTCTTTGCAATTTTAGGTTGAGGAAATTGTTCCACGATTTGTAGATGCAGCTTTTTGCACATTAGTAAACCTCTGCCCATCTGTACCTCTAACAAACTCTGCTTCTTTAAGATGCTCTTTTTATACCCAATAATGTTACCGACATATTGCTAATTAACCAAATTAGTTGCAAAATGTTCCACCAGCTGTTTCTCTTTAATGCAACTTACCCATGCAGCTTTTTCTTGGCTCATCGCAATTTCTGTGGCGTGTTGCTGCCATTAAATTCAAAATTAACTAATATTTCACATGGAAGAGTAATAGTGCCTCAGTTAAAACATTTTATATGTTTTCCATAATCTATCATAGATAAAATATGGGCTTATGAGATTTTCAAATCATCGTATTCTGTTTTTATTTACATTTAACGCATCATCCCATTTCTTCTTTTGGAATGGGGGTTGTACATTTAACAATTTAAACCAGTTATCCATGAGCAGAATTTCATTCTCTTCTGTAAGAAATATCTACAGAAACAAATTATAAAACCAAGAGTGCCAGCTAAGTGAAATTTTCCTCTCCATATATACTGGTTTCTAAATATCCGTGCATCTTTCTGACAAGTCATCATACAAATCCTTCTTTCTTGCATCTGCTTGGCATTAAACACTACTTCTCTGTATTCTTGAAGAATGTGGCACCAATATGCACCTACCATGCACAGAACAGGATTTAAACAGGGAATCCATCTTCATGAGAAATGATATTCTAGCATAGAGTAAAGGGAGTTATATTCTAGTTTTGCCTGAGGTGTGTCTGAGCTACACGTGCCCTAATGTTGACCCTGAGCACATGGCAAGGAAGTTCAGGAGAGTGCATCAATCAGGACAACTCTTGGTATGTCTCACTGGATATATCCTTGTACATCATGGATTCTGACACTGTAAAATGGGCACCAGCATAAAAACAGGCTTCTACTACTAATGTTAATATTAATTTAACTTTAGTGTTCTAGGAGAACAAATCCTAAAAGCTTGCTACATCAACAACTTACACTGTAAGCTTGCGCAAACATTAAAGACTTTACAGCCTTGATACCTTCCTTAGCACTATTGCATCATGGTTGAATGAGCCCCACTGTCTTTCATCAGCAGGTGCGATTAGAAATAAAAAGCTGTTTTCGACCTGTCGGGAGTATTCAGATAGGGAGCATTAACCAACCTTGTCTCAGCTAATCGCACTCCGTCTGCAAGTGGGCCTAAAAATCCCCCCAAGTCACAAGAGGTGCTGGCATGAAAGTAAGCTTTGATTAAATTTACGCTTTAGGCTAACCGGAAAACAATCATGTACAGTGGGAGCAAAAGAATAAAAGAGAGTCAGAGGAAAGCAAAGTAAAGGAACAAAGCCATCAGGAGTTCAGAAGAAAGGCGCGTAGAGTTGGGTGAGTTACGATAAGGTGTGTAGGGGAACTACGAGGACATATGGAAATAAAAAGTGCGCACACGGGCAGTTAATTAACTTAATGTTAATATGTATGCACATGTCTCTGTAGCTCATTCCTTGGGAGCCACACTACTGACAGCCCACTACAAATATCAATCATGGGTAATCAAAACCCGGGATTTACGGCGGCCTCTTTAAAAACGGGATTAAACTCATGCTTCAATCCTTTCTTCTTTTCTCCAAATGGGAAAAAGGTGAAATTAAAAACCACGCAGACATCTTTTGTAACAGTTGTCTTTTCTACAGGCCCTATAAGCTCTGTAACTACTGCGTTAGTACCGAGGCCACTCCCAATATGTGAAGTAGAAGTGAACATAATTACCTTTTAATATTCTTTTTGAAAGCGCCTTGGTCATTCACCATTCATGCCTTGTGGCAACTTTTCAAGGAGCTTCTACTTCTAATTTGATAAAATACACATTTAATGCATTTCTGAAATCTTCATTTCTCCACCTCCTTTTCTCGCTCCACCGGCTCCATCACTGAAGTTATGAGAATCAAACATCGTTTTAGCCGCTGGTTGTAAGGCACCCCTTTAATTGTGCAATTTCTCACATAGCGCTTTAATTATGTTCAGCTGAGGGTTTGAGTTGAAATTCAGAACTATTGCTTTATGCAGTGTTCTGTTTAATTGGTGGGTATTTTACAGCAGCGCCATTAGCTTGAGCTCAAAATGAAGGCAAGGTGGGGGTTTTTAAATATATATATCAGAAACTGTGACCAAAACTTTGACCACCTACATTCTACTATATTTTACAATTAAACTTTCAAGATCAGGACATATCGCCTGCTGCTGCAGTGTGAAATGGGCCTCTGAGGCTTGTTTTCCCCATGCTGCTATTTCATTTGGTTCCCTGCCTCCTTTTGTGTGGCATTAATGTAATTATTGATAGGCTGACAGCATGAGACGTGTCAGACAGATTTGATGCTGGTATCAGTTTCTGTTTAATGCTGTCAGCGTTGGCACATTTGTTGAAGGTTCACACCAGGAAGATGGGCAGCCTTTCTTTGGCTGGAGGCTAATGCAATTTTGACTCACATCCATAAGCCATACAAGCTGGGCAGAGTGCCCACTGCTGCCAACTA